CGAATTACGTGTGAACGCAGCATCATATTACATTTCAAAATATTGTCATTCAGTTTTCTTTCTATTCAAACAATTAATTGCTTTTTCACAAACTTAATCAATCCCATTGAAATTGGTTAAAACATTTGTATTTGTTTTCAATTGAAGATTTCTTGCTATTGGGCAATACTGTGCTCTTGTTCAATACTGTGAAATTGAAGATTTCACAGTATTGTGCAATACTGTGCTATTGCACAATACTGTGTTGTTGCGCAATACTGTGCAATTGAAGATTTTTTGCTATTGCGCAATACTGTGCAATCGAAGATTTCTTGCTTTTGCCCAATACTGTGCTATTGTACAATACTGTGCTATTGCATAATACAGTTCAATTGAAGATTTCTTGCTATTGCGCAATACTGTGCAATTGAAGATTTCTTGCTATTGCGCAATACTGTGCAATTGAAGATTTCTTGCTATTGTGCAATACTGTGCAATTGAAGATTTCAAAATTTGAAGAAAAAAATGAACCCCCCAAAAAAATTTGAAAAAAAAATCCACCCAACTTTTTGAACCCACCCTTTAGAGTAATTACCCCCAAACTCAATCCCAGTCTTCCCTTTGTGATATGGAACCTTGTGGTACAATTTCTGAGAGATCCATACACTTACACACAAATTATTGTACGGAAACTACAAAAATGCTTGTTTTTGGCCCCTAATTCCTAAACTGTTGGTACCATAATCCCCAAAATCAATCCCAACCTTCTTTTTGTGGTATTGAACCTTCTGGTAAAATTTCATAGAGATCGATTGACTTCAACTAAAGTTATTGTCTGGAAACCAAATGTGTCTTCAGACTACGACGACATCACATAGCATTATATAACGCAAAAATTTTTTTGCGTACGTGTAAAAATTGCTATGCAAAGTATGTAGCTGAGTAATTATTTGAAAATTGAGTTGATATAATATAAGAACCCTCCAAAACAGATCAATATTCATACTTTATTTTGTATTTGAATGTTCCAAAATCAATCAAAGTTTTTATATGTATACGTGTACATGTATATGTGCACTTGCATAAGGTTGGTTTCTATCCGACACAGCTCATTTATTATTAACATATTGAATCTGTAAACAAAGCTTTGAAATGATTGCATATCATCCCACATGAAATAAATTGTTACAGCATATTACACAGATGAACTTTAAATAATGAAGATGTCTATTTTAAAGTAGATTGCTCTTCTGATTGCTCATAAAATAAATTTTTTAGATTTTTTTTTTATTAGAGCTATATTCTCATATTTCATTTCAAAATATTGTCATTCAGTTTTCTTTCTATTCAAACAATAAATTGCTTTTTCTCTTTAAAATCCTTACAGAATGTTTTTTCACAACCTGTAGCAAAAACACTGACTCAGTAACATAAAACAATTTTGGAAATAGCACTTTATAAACTTCATTTTGGCAAAGTATGTAAATTTTTATATATACCCCATACTCAGTACCTTAAGGCAGTATAAAGGGACTTTAAAACAAAAGATTATTGAATATTCTATATTTTCATACCTAGCCAAACTAGTTCTATCTTGCTATTATTCAAAAATATAATAATAAGAATAGGTCATTGATCTTAATTTCAAGCTACAGGTGACATATTTTGTAGTGGTTTTACATAGAAAAAGTATTATGTGAATAAAAAGAAAACTAAATGATTAAATTTATAGAAGATAGCTCTTATAAAGTGCTGTTAGAAAATAACAATAAAACTAGAGGATCAAATGCCTGTGTGACTCACCTCTGTCTATCTGCATCTTCATCAATGGACACACCCAAACATTGTAGACTAGAACATTATGCATGATTAAAATCTCTATTTTGTTGAGTTTGAATTGCTGATATTTTTTTCTGTTTACAGTTCCTCTCTATCTTTTATTGTTTTTGCCTAAACACTGTTATTTAAGGGCAATAACTACTACAACTAGATGCTCTCAAGAGCCTGTGTCGCTCACCTGGATCTTCTTTGGTTTTGGAAATCATGTTAAAATAGATTAAAATCATAACAGATACCTTAATAATGAGTGAGGCCAAATTTGGTTAAATATCGGCCCTGTAATTTAATAAAAAATTCTGGTGGCCCTCTTGAACAGTAAATCAGCAACAAAGTAGCAATACTTCATCAACACCTCATAAGAAACATTTATGCCATGTTTGGTTTCATTCCATTCAGTGCACCTCTAAAAAGCATTTGTATGTTTTTCCAATAGGGTCTTATGTTAAAGGAAGTCCCCCCACTGGCGGCCATCGTGGATGATGGATAGGCTTCAAAGTAACAACACTTGGACAGCACCTCAAAAGGAACTTTCATGCCATGTTTGGTTTCATTCCATTCAGTGGTTCTTTAAAAGAAGACATTTGTATGTATCTCCTATAGGGTCCTATGTTAAACTAAGTCCCCCGCTAGCGGCCATCTTGGATGGTGGATCGGCTTCAAAGTAACAACACTTGGTTAGCACCTCATAAGGAACATTCATGCCATGTTTGGTTTCATTCCATTCAGTGGTTCTCTAAAAGAAGACATTTGTAAATATTTCCTATAGGGTCCTATGTTTAACTAAGCCCCCTGCAGGCAGCCATCTTGGATTATGGATCGGCTTCAAAGTAACAACACTTGGTCAGCACCTCATAAGGAACATTCATGCCATGTTTGGTTTCATTCCATTCAGTGGTTCTCTAAAAGAAGACATTTGTATGTATTTTCCATAGGGTCCTATGTTAAACTTAGTCCCCTGCTGGTGGCCATCTTGGATGATGGATCGGCTTCAAAGTAACAACACTTGGTCAGCACCTCATAAGGAACATTCATGCCATGTTTGGTTTCATTCCATTCAGTGGTTCTCTAGAAGAAGTTCAAAATGTTAAAAGTTAACGACGAAGACGGACGCCAAGTGATGAGAAAAGCTCACTTGGTCCTCTGGGCCAGGTGAGCTAAACAGCCATCTGACAATAAAAAATCATTCTGAACATTTTTGCCCTACCAGATTTTCTCTTTCTATTGTGGATTTAAAGATAATAGACAAACTTTTATTTTACCCCTATGTTCTAATTTAGTCATGTTGGGCATGTTAATTGGCAAGCGAGGTTTTAGGATATGACTAGATACCCCAATGATGATTGTAGCCAAGTTTGATTACATTTGGCCTAATAGTTTCAGAGGAGATGATCTTGTTATAAGTTAATAGAAGACAACGATGGATGCCAAGTAATGGTGAAAACTCACACAGGCCATATGAACATTGCACTATTAATCCTCGAAACAACATATTTGCAAATTACATCATCCAAAATCAAGGACAAGAGGCTGTCAGAGTGACAGCGAACCCTGAACAGTTGAGCAAGTATAGACACTACTTTTAAGCTTAAAACAGCTCAGAAATTGGATTGTGATTGAATATTTGACACAGCATAGGTTTGTGAAACAAAATGAATGTGGTGAAAGAACTGAAATATTTGAAATTGGACATATACCTATTATGGTCTAATACCGTATAGCGGGTTATTTTCGCGGGGTGTTTATTTTCGCTTATTTTGGCGGATAAACGAAAATAGCGAAAATAAATTCCACGAAAATTCATGCATAAGTTGGGTACTTTCTAATAACTAAAACGTTTTGTAAATGATTTATTTTTTTCCGGTCGGCAAGTCAATAACGGTACATGTTAGTTTAAACAACATAGATGCCAAAGGGCATTGCACAAATATGTATTTTATAAAATGACTGTCACGTGTGTCAATTAGAATACGAGTGTAAGGTACTCTTATCTTGTAATTATCCTAATTAATTAGTGTCAAACTATATAAGAGTTATAAACACTGATGATAATGTTGTAACCTAATTATTAAGTACATCAAAGGTCCGGTCAATTTCGTAACTAATCAACCGTTAATATTTCAAGGCATGTGAATACCTGTAAAAAATAGCTAAGTCACAAGTATTCTATTAATTAAGTGTGTCCAAATATAATCAATAAATAAGACGTCATTCACGTAAAACAACTAATTAACCGTAACAATAGACACTAGTTTGTCAAGTTTTACAACTTTTTAACTGCAACAATTTCGGTATCCGCCAAAATATTAATTTCGGATTTCAGAGTCCACCAAAAAAAACTGCCAAAAATTTTCATATACTTTGTTGCCCCTTAATCGCGAAATTTTATACCCGCGAAAATAACCCGCTATACGGTATCCAAAATCTAAGTACATTGTTAGAATCATTATATCAAAGAACCCCAAGAATTCAATTTTTGATGAAATCAAACAAAATTTTAATTTAGGACCCTTTGGACCTCAATGTAGACCAATTTGATAAAGGAGCCCACAATCCAAAATCTCTCAATACATGGTAAGATTCAGCATTTCAAAGAACCCCATAAATTCAACTTTTGTTGAATCAAACAAAGTTTAATTCTGGACCCTGATTTGGACCAACTTGAAAACTGGGCCCAAAAATATAATATTTAAATACAGGTTTAGATTCAGCATTTAAAAGAAACCTATATATATTTAACTTATGTTGAAATGTAACACAGTTTAATTTTATCCATATAATTTTCTGTTCAAAGGGAAATAACTCAAACTGAATAAATAGTTCTCTAAAATTAGATATTATGTTATATACATCTATTTTCAAACTATAATCAATAATATAATAACAATAACCAGTGATGACTAAATTCTCTAAAATTAGATATGATTTAATCACTAAAACATTGTTAGAATCAGCATATCAAAGAACCCCAAGAATTCAATTTTTGATGAAATTAAACAAAAGTTTAATTTAGGACCCTTTGGACCTAAATGTGGTATTATCTAATTAATAATGAAAATAAATACAGGTTTAGATTCAGCATTTCAAAGAACCCTATATATATGTTCAATTTATGCTGAAATCAAACACAGTTTAATTTTGGACTCGATTTGGACCAACTTAAAAACTGGGCCCAAAATCAGAAATCTAAATATATGTTTATTAAAAGACAATATACATGATATAAGCTTAGTTTTTAAAGGAGTTCACTTCATAAAAAAAAAATGAGATATAGCATTCAGAAAATGAGTTTTTACAGAATAACAAACAAACCTACTACTAAATTCTTCAAACAATTAACCAAAGAAAGAAAAAAAAAATCCAAAATTTTATCATTAATACAATGTCTACAAGTATCACATTAACATTTATGATCCAAGAAAATGAGGTCAAGGTCAGATAAACCAGGCCAGAAATACATGTACACCTTTAATACAATCCCTCCATACACAGAATATAGATGACCTATTGCTTATAGTATAAAAGAAACAGACCAAACCATGGAAATTCTATACTGACCAATGAACCATGAAAATGAAGTCAAGGTCATTTGAACCCTGCCAGACAGACATGTACACCTTCAAATCATTCCATGCATCAAATATAGTTGACCTATTGCTAAAGGTATCTAAGAAAAAAAGGTAACCAGGAAAAACCGAACATTGACCAATCAACCATGAAAATGAGGTGAAGGTCAGATGATACGTGCCCGACTGACATGTACATCGTAAAATATTTCAATACACCAAATATAGTTGACCTACTGCATACAGTATTAGAAAAACAGACCAAAACACAAAAACTTAACATTGAGCAATGAACCGTGAAAATGAGGTCAAGGTCAATTAAAACCTGCCAGACTGACATGTGCATTGTAAAATATTTCCATACACCAAATATAGTTGACCTACTGCATACAGTATTAGAAAAACAGACCAAAACACAAAAACTTAACATTGAGCAATGAACTGTGAAAATGAGGTCAAGGTCAAATAAAACCTGCCAGACTGACATGAACATCATAAAATATTTCCATACACCAAATACAGTTGACCTATTGCATACAGTATTAGAAAAACAGAACAAAACACAAAAACTAAACTATGACTACTGAACCATGAAAATGAGGTAAAGGTCAGATGACACCTGCTAGTTGGACATGTACACCTTACAATCATTACATATACCAAATATAGTAGACCTATTGCTTACAGTATCTCAGATATGGACCTGACCACGAAAACTTAACCTTGTTCACTGATCCATGAAATGAGGTCGAGGTCAAGTGAAAACTGTCTGACAGGCATGAGGACCTTGCAAGGTACGCACATACCAAATATAGTTATCCTATTACCCATAATAAGAGAGAAATTAACATTACAAAAAATCTTATCTTTTTTTCAAGTAGTCACTGAACCATGAAAATGAGGTCAGGACAATGGACATATGACAGACGGAAACTTCATATCATAAGGCATCTATATACAAAGTATGAAGCATCCAGGTCTTCTACCTTCTGAAATATTAAGCTTTTAAGAAGTTAGTTAATGCTGCTGCCGCCGCCAGATCACTTTCCCTATGTTGAGTTTTCTGCGACAAAAGTCGAAGGCTCGACAAAAATGAACAGTAAATTTCTTACTATATAGCTTATAATCATCAGCACTTAGGAAACAGAAAATTTTCAAATAAATCTGTCACTCCAATTATAATTGTGTCATAAGACATTTACCATATGCTTTGTAATCTGATAACAGGTGAAAATTATTTAAAAACACTTAGTGTAATCAAACTTTATATATATAATTAACAATTTCTGTTCAAAGGGAAATAACTCAATCACATTAGAAGTACCACTTTTGGATATCAAAATGGGCAATAACTCAACCAGGAGAAAAGTTAAAATCGTGAAAATTGAATTTGACCTTCATTTAGTCACAGGAAACAACATATCTAACTTTGAAAAAATTTGGTCATAGCGTTTTCATGTTTTTGAACGGACACTGTTTGGCAGCCACCCGACCACCCGCCCGTTGTACATCCCCAAATCAATAACCGATTTTCCTTCGGAAATCCGGTTAATAAAATCTTTACTAAATCCTCTCATTATCTTTCTTCTCCTTTCCAGGCAATTCATTTGATTATCAAAACTATTTACACAAGTACCAATATTTTGCATTTAATTAATGATAATCTTTTTGGCTATAATTCACATAACTTCTAGTTGGTCATTTTGGTGAACAGCTGCATTTATATTCTAATGCATTCAAAAAACACAATTACTATGGATAGTTCAATTAAATTCAATTATTTTAAATACTTCATAAATACAAAAAAAAAACATTTTTTGACTTAACCTTAACAAACAAACATGAAAACACACACTGGTTTCTGTGAAGTGTTATTGTAGACTTTTCTTTGCATTTTTATCTTTTTCTTTTGTCAATGTTGATATTGTTCTTTTTTAAATTAACAATAACTCCTAAGAAGTCAAAAGAGATAGAGTTTCTTTGTTGAATATATATTCTTTTGTGTAAGACCTGAAGCACAATTTGCAAATTTATTAACTTCTGAAAAAACATGGGAAACAACTCTTAAAAACAAGACACATAAAAATAAACAAAATACATGCTCAAATTTCTGTAGTTTTGAAATAGGTACAATGACTCTTTTCTGATCCTGCTGTTTGAATCAATCACTTTCAATGAATTTACAGTTTTGCGCCAACACTATCATCAATAGTTTTAATTTCACCATGCTCGACAGTGATAAAATCACCCAAGTTCTTATTCACTTTTTTTGCTTTTTCAACTTCCTCTATCAACAGGTCTCTTGGCTCTAGATAAAACTAAAACAAAGAAAAAGTCAAATATTGAAATAGCTTTGATGCTCAAAATACATGTATATGTCTTTAACAATAAATGATGGTCTAAGTTCAGTTATTTACACAAGATATAAAGGTTTGAAAACGAAATAATGTGTCTACAAGACACAACTGCCCAATCTTCAAATTAAGTTTCCGAAGAAGCTTCACAGGATGAAATATTTTTGTCGATTAAACTGTATGGATTTGTAATAAATGTAAAAAAACATGTGCAGAGGACTTAGTGTAATATATATGCACATTGGTTCAAAACTTTTTTCAAAAACATAATTATTACAAGAAACTAGTTTCATATGAATTTAAAAAAAAACCATAGGACTAAAGACTAGATGAGATATCATACAATGTAAAAGTACCTCATGTGAGCCAAGTCCATTAAATGTACCCCAGTGTATACCAACAGAGAATTTAGATCCAACTTCTTCATGTACCATGACAGCTTCTTTTGGACCAATATGCTGTGGTTTCATAAAGTCTCTATGAAAAAGAACACAATTTATAATTAAGAGGAGATGGAAGATACAAGCAGATAAAATAAAAACACATAGAAATTATCAAATGATATGTAAATTTAACAGAAATCAATAAATTTCTATATTATATGTCAAGATCTATATCATGCTGATTTTTGACAAATTGTTTGAGAAATAAGCAGAAGGTATAATAAGGCACCTTTCTTGCCCCTTGAATTAAAAAAATTAATAACCAAAAAGTCACATAAATCTACTATTAAAATAACAATACATCCTTCAGATGTTCATAATACATAAGTCTGTCAGAATTTAGTATTTATATTTTTGAATATTATTTTACAGATTGGTATTTGGGTTTCAAGCTTCTTCAATTTAGAGCAAAATAACGCAAACTGTCAAAATAGTCCATTTAGGGATCTTGTTATTATTATTTAGATAAGAGTTATAGCTTGACCCAAAAATATATTTTGCAAAGATGTTAATCAATGAGTGTAAAATACCTTTTTGTCATATATATTTTTACCAAAAATTATGTGGAAATATTGCAGTTTTAGATGAAATACGTAAGTTTGGACATGTTGGAAACAAGTGACCTTTCTGCATTAAAGTCAAGACCTGTTTATTTATCAATAAATTTAACAATATTTTGAAAGGCTTGAATAAGTTTATTATTTTTGCAATTCCAAGGCTAAACAATGGCTCTCATCATACTTCTTTCTATTAAAGAGGATACTAAAAATTTGCCATCAACACAAAGCCTTAAAGGAAATAAATGGAGAATGTGTCCCCATGGACACAGATGATGCCCCGGCTTGCATACAACATTATAAAGGGACATAACTCAACAACAATAAAAGTGACGCTACCCAAATTTGTACTTGATCTTAGTTTTGTGGTAATTAATATTGTGTAAAGGTTTCATGTTTGGTTGGGGCAAACTTAAGTTACAGAAAGGAAACTAAAAATTTTGCAATTTTTCAATTTATAAAGGGGCATAACTCAATAATGGTTATAGTGAAACTACCAAAATTCAACTTCATCGGTGTTTTATCAGTGGAAGGCAAAATTAAACATTGCATTGTATAAAGCATTGATTGTAGTTGATTCAACTATAATCATGGACAAAGGAAGATAACTCCAATTTTAAAAAGTATTTGAACAATGACATCATTGATATTTTTAGAAAAAAAAATGAAAAAATTAGCAATTTTTCCATTTGTAAAGGGGCATAACTCTAGAACAGTAAAAGTGACGCCACCAATTCAGACTTGATCTGTGTATTGTGGTAATAAGCATTGTGTAAAAGTTTCATATCATTTGGTTGAGGCAAACTTAAGTTAGAGAACGGAAACCAATTTTGGGATGTACGGACGTACGTACGTATGTACTGACAGACGGACAAGGGTAAAACTTAATGCCCCCTCCGCTTCGGCGAGGGCATAAAAAACATTGAGCTTTATACAATGAAAGATAATGACATTTTTTTCTGGTTTTTGATTAACCCTGCTACATTCTATATGTGCCTGTCACAAGTCAGGAGCCTGTAGTTCAGTGGTTGTAGTTGGTTCATGTTTGTCGTATTTGTTTTTTTTTTTAAATTGTTTTGTTATGAATTAGGCTGTTAGTTTTCTCAATTGAATTGTTTATATTTTCATGTCAGGGCCTTTTTTAGCTGACTATACAGTATGGGTTTTTCTCATTGTTGAAGGCCGTACAGTTGCCTATAATTGATTACCTCCACTTCATTTGAACTTTGGTGGTTAGTTGTCTCGTTTGCAATAAACACAATATTTTTTGAAATTTTTTACTGTAGAAATGATTGTGACTGGATAGGTTTCAAAAAAAAAAATAAAATGCTCCGCTGGGGGCAGCTTGATACGACCGCAGAGGTCGAACCCTGAACAGTTGGGGCAAGTATGGACACAACATTCAAGCTTGATACAGCACTGAATTTGGATTGTGATTAAATATTTGACACAGCATAGGTTTCTGACACAGAATGAATGTGGTCTAAGAACTTAAAAATTTTTAATTTACCTATTCAAAACATATCATTATTATTTGCTTTTATATATAAATCAGAAATAACCAATTTAAAATGGAAAATTAAAAAAAAAAAAATCCCTCCCCCAAATTTTTTGAACCCCATTATGATTCATCACCCCCAAACTCAATCCCAGCCTTCCCTTTGTGGTATGGTACCTTGCAGTACAATTTCAGAGAGATCCATACACTTGAACACAAGTTATTGTCTGGATTCTAGAAAAATGCTTGTTTTTAGGCCCCTTTTTGGCCCCAAATTCCTAAACGTTTAGGGCAATAACCCCCAAACTCAAACCCAGCTTTCCCTTTGTGATATGGAACCTTGTAGTACAATTTCATAAAGATCCATACACTTACACACAAGTTATTGTCCTTAAACTAGAAAAATGCTTGTTTTTTGCCCCTTTTTGGCCCCTAATTCCTAAAATTTTGAGGCAATTACCCCCAAAATCAATCCCAGCCTTACCTTTGTGGTATGGTACCTTGCAGTACAATTTCAGAGAGATCTATACACTTGAACACAAGTTATTGTCTGGAAACTAGAAAAATGCTTATTTTTGGCCCCTTTTTGGCCCCTTATTCCTAAACGTTTTGGGCAATTACCCCAAAACTCAATTCCAGCTGTCCCTTTGTGATATGGAACCTTGTAGTACAATTTCAGAAAGATCCATACACTTACACACAAGTTATTATCATGAAACTAGAAATGCTTGTTTTTTGCCCCCTTTTTGGCCCCTAATTCCTAAAATTTTGAGGCAATTACCCCCAAAATCAATCCCAGCATTCCCTTTGTGATATGGAACCTTGTGGTACAATGTCAGAGAGATCCATACACTAACACACAAGTTATGTCTGGAAGTTACAAAAATGCTTATTTTTGGCCTCTTTTTGGCCCCTAAATACCATAACCACCAAAATCAATCCCAACCTTCCTTTTGTGGTATTGAACCTTATGGTAAAACTTCATAGAGATCCATTCACTGAAACTCAAGTTAGAGTGCGAAAACTAATGTGTTTCCGGATGACGACGAGGACGAGGCCAACGTCATACCAATATACGACCGCAATAAAAATTGCGTTCTAAATTTTAAAAGCATGATTTAAATGCAGCATTTACTGAGATCGCAATAATTAATCTTATATTTTAGTCAATTGTTCAACAAAGGAAATTATAAATGCAAACAAAACTTTTTTTTTTCATTACCAAAGACACTTATTCACAATATTGATTTAATCAATTATACATTGATTTCGAAAATGTTTGCCTGAATTTCCCATAGGCATACCATCAAGAAATATATGTTATTTAATAATTTCTGTAATATTTGCTTTAGGCATTTAAATAAATGATGAAAGAATATCTCAGTTATCTATCAGCTGTGATGCCATTGAAGGAATTTATAATGGCAAAGGTACTACTGTGAAAGGTTATAGTGTGAAAATCCTTCCAAATGAATTCTAATTGAAACAACAATTTTGAAGACAAAGTTATCAAACATGGAGCTTATAGACAATAGGTGGGATCAGATGATTTAAAAAATAAAATGCTCCGCTGGGGCGCAGCTTGATACGACCACAGAGGTCGAACCCTGAACAGTTGGGTCAAGTATGGACACAACATTCAAGCTTGATACAGCACTGAATTTGGATTGTGATTAAATATTTGACACAGCATAGGTTTCTGACACAGAATGAATGTGGTCTAAGAAAATTTTAATTAACATTATTATTTGCTTTTATATATAAACAAGAGTGCACACACTGAAATGTCTCGCCTTCTTTACTAATCATTGATATTATGTTGATAGTCCTAAATATAAAGCTTTATTACAACTGTCACATAAACTTAACATTAACCAAGAAAACTAAACATTGACCAATGAACCATGAAAATGAGGTCAAGGTCAGATGAACCATGCCAGGCAGACATGTACAGTTAACAATTCTTCCATATAACAAATATAGTTGACCTATTGCTTATAGTTTAAGAAAAACAGACCAAAACACAAAAACTTAACACTGATCAATGAACCGTGAAAATGAGGTCAAGGTCATATAAAACCTACGTGACTGACATATAGATCATAAAATATTTCCATACACCAAATATAGTTGACCTATGGCATATAGTATTAGAAAAAAAGACCAAAACTCAAAAACTTAACTTTGACCACTGAACCATGAAAACGAGGTCAAGGTCAGATGACACCTGCCAGCTAGACATGTACACCTTACAATCATTCCATACACCAAATATAGTAGACCTATTGCATACAGTATAAGAAAAGCAGACCAAAACACAAAAACTTAACTATAACCACTGAACCATGAAAATGAGGTCAAGGTCAGATGACACCTGCCAGTTGGACATGTACACCTTACAGTCCTTCCATACACCGAATATACTAGACCTATTGCTTATAGTATCTGAGATATGGACTTGACCACCAAAACTTAACCTTGTTCACTGATCCATGAAATGAGGTCGAGGTCAAGTGAAAACTGTCTGACGGGCATGAGAACCTTGCAAGGTACGCACATACCAAATATAGTTATCCTACTACTTATAATAAGAGAGAATTTAACATTACAAAAAATGTTAACTTTTTTTTCAAGTAGTCACTGAACCATGAAAATGAGGTCAAGGACATTGGACATGTGACTGACGGAAACTTCGTAACATGAGGCATCCATATACAAAGTATGAAGCATCCAGGTCTTCCACCTTCTGAAATATAAAGCTTTTAAGAAGTTAGCTAACGCCGCCGCCGGATCACTATCCCTATATCGAGCTTTCTGCGACCAAAAGTCGCAGGCTCGACAATAAAAAATAACCAATTTAAAATGGAAAATTTTAAAGAAAAAAAAAAGGAAAAAAAGGAAAAAAAAATCCCCCCCCAAATTTTTTGAACCCCCTTATGATTCATCACCCCAAAACTCAATAACAGCCTTCCCTTTGTGGTATGGTACCTTGCAGTACAATTTCAGAGAGATCCATACACTTGAACACAAGTTATTGTCTTGAAACTAGAAAAATGCTTATTTTTGGCCCCTTTTTGGCCCAAATTCCTAAACGTTTTGGGCAATTACCCCAAAACTCAATTCCAGCTGTCCCTTTGTGATATGGAACCTTGTAGTACAATTTCAGAAAGATCCATACACTTACACACAAGTTATCATCATGAAACTAGAAATGCTTGTTTTTTGCCCCTTTTTTGGCCCCTAATTCCTAAAATTTTGAGGCAATTACCCCCAAAATCAATCCCAGCATTCCCTTTGTGATATGGAACCTTGTGGTACAATGTCAGAGAGATCCATACACTAACACACAAGTTATGTCTGGAAGTTACAAAAATGCTTATTTTTGGCCTCTTTTTGGCCCCTAAATCAATCCCAACCTTCCTTTTGTGGTATTGAACCTTATGGTAAAACTTCATAGAGATCCATTCACTGAAACTCAAGTTAGAGTGCGAAAACCAATGTGTTTCCGGATGACGACGAGGACGAGGCCAACGTCATACCAATATACGACCGCAATAAAAATTGCGTTCTAAATTTTAAAAGCATGATTTAAATGCAGCATTTACTGAGATCGCAATAATTAATCTTATATTTTAGTCAATTGTTCAACAAAGGAAATTATAAATGCAAACAAAACTTTTTTTTTTCATTACCAAAGACACTTATTCACAATATTGATTTAATCAATTATACATTGATTTCGAAAAAGTTTGCCTGAATTTCCCATAGGCATACCATCAAGAAATATATGTTATTTAATAATTTCTGTAATATTTGCTTTAGGCATTTAAATAAATGATGAAAGAATATCTCAGTTATCTATCAGCTGTGATGCCATTGAAGGAATTTATAATGGCAAAGGTACTACTGTGAAAGGTTATAGTGTGAAAATCCTTCCAAATGAATTCTAATTGAAACAACAATTTTGAAGACAAAGTTATCAAACATGGAGCTTATAGACAATAGGTGGGATCAGATGATTTAAAAAATAAAATGCTCCGCTGGGGCGCAGCTTGATACGACCACAGAGGTCGAACCTTGAACAGTTGGGTCAAGTATGGACACAACATTCAAGCTTGATACAGCACTGAATTTGGATTGTGATTAAATATTTGACACAGCATAGGTTTCTGACACAGAATGAATGTGGTCTAAGAAAATTTTAATTAACATTATTATTTGCTTTTATATATAAATAAAAAATAACCAATTTAAAATGGAAAATTTTAAAGAAAAAAAAAGGAAAAAAAGGAAAAAAAAATCCCCCCCCCAAATTTTTTGAACCCCCTTATGATTCATCACCCCAAAACTCAATAACAGCCTTCCCTTTGTGGTATGGTAACTTGCAGTACAATTTCAGAGAGATCCATACACTTGAACACAAGTTATTGTCTGGAAACTAGAAAAATGCTTGTTTTTTGGCCACTTTTTGGCCCCAAATTCCTAAACGTTTAGGGCAATTACCCCAAAACTCAAACCCAGCTTTCCCTTTGTGATATGGAACCTTGTAGTACAATTTCATAAAGATCCATACACTTACAAACAAGAAATTGTCCTGAAACTAGAAAAATGCTTGTTTTTTGCCCCTTTTTGGCCCCTAATTCCTAAAATTTTGAGGCAATTACCACCAAAATCAATCCCAGCCTTCCCTTAGTGGTATGGTACCTTGCAGTACAATTTCAGAGAGATCAATACACTTTAACACAAGTTATTGTCTGGAAACTAGAAAAATGCTTATTTTTTGCCCCTTTTTCCTAAACGTTTTGGGCAATTACCCCCAAACTCAATTCCAGCTTTCCCTTTGTGATATGGAACCTTGCAGTACAATTTCAGAAAGATCCATACACTTACAAACAAGTTTATGTCATGAAACTAGAAAAATGCTTGTTTTTTGCCCCTTTTTTGTCAACTAATTCCTAAAATTTTGAGGCAATTACTCCCAAAACCAATCCCAGCATTCCCTTGGTGATATGGAACCTTGTGGTACAATGTTAGAGAGATCCATACACTAACACACAAGTTATGTCTGAAAGTTACAAAAATGCTTATTTTTGGCCCCCTTTTGGCCCCTAATTCCTTAACTGTTGGTACTATAACCCCCAAAATCTATCCCAACCTTCCTTTTGTGGTATTGAACATTGGGGTAAAATTTCATAGAGATCAATTCACTTAAACTAAAGTTAGAGAGCGAAAACCAATGTGTCTTTGGACAACGACGACGACGACGCCAACATCATACCAATATACGACCGCAAAATTTTTTTGCGGTCGTATAAAATGGCATAAGAATAATTCAAATTGTTGCTGTAGAGAAGACGAAACTGTCAAAAATTTGTGATTACAGAAAAGTTAAACAAGAGTTGATAATAGCTCAAATAATCCTTTTTTGGTCATAAAATATCATGGAATGAATGTCTGTCTGTGCACAAAGGCTACCCTTAACAAGGTACCTTTTATGATCAAATAACAATTATTAAATTATTTTCATACCTTGGAGCGTAGCAGCCTATGGGTATTGCTGATAGGTCCATGGGTCCATATTTTTCACCAATTGTTTTAAAGACAGGACAGTATCCTGTATCTCCTGAGTAGTAAAATGTATGTTTAGCTTTTATAACCCAGCCACACCATAGACTCTGTAAATACACAAAAAAATACAATGTATAATTCTTTAATTGCCACATTAAATATGTGACAAAGTAGCATATTTTTCAAGAGCTGAACCAAATCATCTGATATATCATTATTCTTTAAAAGGCAAGATAATCCGCTATAACGTAAAAAGTTTCAATAATTATCGTGATTATTCATTCTGACATCATTTTTACCTTTTAAAGGGCTCTGTTGAATTGTGAAAAAGCCTGTTCATATAGAAATATGTGATGACTATAGTTAGTTTTTTAATATAAAAAAATTGTTATCAGGATTTTATCGTAACCAATCAAATTGCAAGATTAGCTGGTATGTTTCATTACAGTACAGTTTATTTTATAATTAAATATTACTTGCGTATTTGTTTACTTAAAACTTGTAAATTAAAATGAGATATATGCCTCTTTGCATCCAAAGAAATAAGTGCTACATTGTCACATCTTTATAGAGCTTAGGCCCGTAATTATTAGAATGCATGTGTAAAGATGATACACAGACAGAGACAAGTCTTTTCTCCTATCTTTTGATAAAAAGTATACCTTTTTTCATTATCAGTTTTTCAATATCAATACATAAATATTAGAATATTAGCCAAGTTTGATGTGGATCATGTCTTATTTAATACCAAGTAGGTTGGGCAGAGGGTTTATTAATAGAATGACCTTGTCATGGAAACATATGGCAACTTGTGAGGTTAATAAACTATGATAACTTTATCAAGCAATCTATATAACTTATCATGACCATAAATATAATATAGGTTCATTCCAAAATATCTAAATTTCCACCTTTCATCTCCCTTAGTGTCACTTAATGTTCACAAAACTATGACTATTTAAAACTCAAGAAATCTTCTGTATATTTTGAATTAAAATCACTGTATTCTTACTTTTATGGAAAGTTTGGGTAGTGATTTCATAAATAGCAGAAATTTTCATCACTTTCCAGAAATAAATAGCAGTTCTATCAACTTCTATGTCAAATACAAATAAAAGAACAGAGTTTCAATGTTCCCTGCATTGCAAATACTTTATTTGTCCAACTTCAATAACTCAAAACAATATTTTTTTGTTTTTTTTTTTAAATTTTAAAATATCGTACAAGAAATGTACACATAACTTTGCTATTAATGTTATTTCGATATATTTCTATTTGCAATGGGCATAACTCCTGTGGATATATCGTTGGTATGCACTCTTCCCAGACCTTGCTGATATAAGCCTTGATATAAACTTCATAAAAATTCAGCAAGAAATGTAAGACTGGACAGACACTTTGTATTTCTATTCATCCAATCATTAAAAAATTAAAAATATTGTCAATCAGGAAGTGATTGCCCGACAGATCTTAAAATGGCTTACAGGGTACAACTCATTCTAATAAATTTCTAGTCCAAAAATCAAAATTAATTCCAATTTCCATAATAAAGAAGCTGAGTAATATCTAACAAAAGAAATTGACCTGTAAACAGACAGACAGATGAATGGACAGAGAAACATGAATACCAACCACTTTGTGATTGGGGGTGTAGCATAATTTTTTTGTTGCTCATTATTTTATATCCAACTTTTCTATAGACGAAATGTACTAATATTGGCAAAGATTATTGTTGAACTGAATCTATGGACATTTTTGTTTTGATTATTACTGCTTACCTTCATTGCATCTATAGGTGTTCTTTGACTCCAGTGTTGAGCTGGTACACAGCAAAATTTTACATCAAGTCTTTCATCGCTCAAGGTATTCTCTTCCCACCAAGTCATTTCCTTCACATTATTACAGTCATACTTCTGAAACCATGTCTTTGTTCCTTCTGGAACATACCATTTTATTTTGCTAAATCTGTTATTCAACTTAATAACAGCATCATGTTCCAAATGATCATAATGATTATGACTAACAATTACTGCATCAATTTTGGGTAGATCTTCAATTTCACATGGAGTGGGTCGATATCTGTAAGGTCCTACTACCTGTACTGGTGAACAGCGATAGAGAAAAACTGGATCTGTCAATACTGTTATATCATCAAACTGAACTAAAAATGTAGCATGACCAATCCACATATATTGGATGTCAGATTTAGGTCTTTCCAGAGTTTTTTTCCCCTCTCCATCAATTTTATGAACTGGCAGTTCTTTGTTTAAATCTTCCTGGAATATAATATCAATTACTATTTGTATAGATAGATAAGGTCCATGTTTGAGGGTCTGGATGGGTCCTCCATTTCTTTATTCTTTAGCTTTTTCGACCATTTTTCTGTTATTATTTTTTTTTTTTAAGGTTTTACTACAACTATCACATAAACTTAACATTATCAATGTTCTATGAAAATAAGGTAACAGTCAGATGAACCATGCCAGACAGACATGTACACCTTACATTCCATACACCATAGATAGTGTTCCAATTACTAATAGTACCTGAGAAACAGACCAAAACCACAAAATCTTAACTGTCCAATGAACCATAAAATGAGGTCAAGGTCATATAAACACACCTTACAATTATTTCATACACCAATTATTTTTTTGTAGGTAAAGTACTTTGCTGAGCATTTTTGGCGTTTGAAGTTTCTGTCTTTTCTATCATAGTTTCTGAAGAAAAAAAAACATAATCAAAGTGCTTATGAGCACTGAAGGGTAAAGATTGCTTTCATTTTGCACTTTTGTGAATTTTTAAATAAAAATTTGTGCTGGAGTTATCGTCCTTTGTTCATAATTATACATTTGAAGTTGAACCTATTTTTACAACAGATTTGCACACCATGCATTACTAATGTAATTTTTGATAAAAAAAATTTTTTTTTTGACAATTATTGTAATTCAAATACACATCATATTGTAATGTAAATATCAAAGTATAACATCTCATCAATAAATTGCATGACATTGACTGGATAGGATCTAAATAATGATCACTTCACTGCACTATATATATATATATATATATATATTGTTTGATCTATCAAATGTAGTGATAAACCTTGGAAGATATAGATATCAATTCAGTACCATAGGGTTTTGATTACATTTTATGCAATCTTTACCTAAAAATCTATTATAATAATAGTCTTTTATGGACAATAACTCCTAAAAGAGATCAATTGACTAATTATGTTCTTTGACTTACTGCTGAACATTTTTGCTGCTTGAAATTTCTCTTTATCTATAATAGTTTTCAAGATAACAACTAAAAACTGAGAAGTTTCATAAAAAAATATTATTTCAGGGGCAATAACTCCAAATTGGGTTGTCATTTTTGTCTAAAAATTTCCTCACTAAATAGCTGTTGACCTGTTAATCATTTTCATCTCGTCAGTTTCGCTCAAACTATTGTAGTTTTTGAGATATAAGCCAAAAAAACTGTGTTGTATTATCATGTTCTATATTTAGCCATGGCAGCCATATTTGTTGACTGACAGGAATAAAAAACACAAACTTTATACTAGATATCATAACAATCCTTCAAACCAAGTTTGGATGAAATTGGCTTAATAGTTTTAGAGGAAAAGGTCTTTGAAAAAGTTTATCACGACTGACGAAGACAGACAAGGATGACTGATGTCAAGTGATGACAATAGATCACATGTCCCTTTGGCTCAGGTGCTATAAAGGTTGGCTGTAAATAAATGTTACAAAATATACTTTCTTCTGGCAAAATACAATTAGACTTCCAAAGATCTGCCATCAATGCAAGATTTGACAAAAAAACCATAAAACACCTATGCATAATACATTTCTAATGACACTGATGAGTTTTTGTAAATTAGACAGGCCCAATAACTAGTGGTGGGTTTACTTTCAGTGGTTGCATGGTCTAATTAATCTTAGTAAAAAATTACTATTTATGTCTCTGGTCTACTTTATGGATTTTACATTTATGAATTTCTTTATTCTTAAGCCCAGGACATATGGAACTCAAGCATTAAAATCAACAATCCAACCACATGCAGACAGCATTAAATCATCGTTACTTTCAAATTATTGCAGAACAAGAGGCTGTCAGAGTGACAGCAAACTAGATTTTCCTGCAGAGGTCGAACCCTGAACAATTGAGCAAGTATGGACACAACATTTAAGCTTAAAACAGCTCTGAATTTGGATAGTGATTGAATATTTGACACAGTATAGGTTTGTGACACAAAATGAATGTGGTCAAAGTACTGAATAAATTGCTTCGCTGAGCGCAGCTGGATACGACCGCAGAGGTCCAACCCTGAACAGTTGGGGCAAAAATGGACACAATATTCGCGCTTGATACAGGTCTGAATTTGGATTGTAATTAAATATTTGACACATAATAGGTTTCTGACACAGAATAACTGTAGTCAATTAGAATTGGTTATATGATTTGAATTTATATTAAATTTTTTGCTTTTGTGCAATACACTATGCTGTTGCGAATTGACCCCCCCCCCCCCACCCCAACTCCACCCCACTGAAATCTGAAATGAGAAAAATTGTCCCCCTCACAATTTCTCCCCTCCCCCCCTTTTCCCCCAAAAAAAATTCTTTCCCTCAAGTTTAATTCTTAATCTCAATTTAAATACATCATAAAAGTCTTAAAATAGAAAATGACATACATAATTATGGCTAAAATTAATATTCCTTAATCAGCATTTTTAAATAGTAACTTCTAAAAATAAATTGACAGCTAATCACCTCAAGACAATACAACATTTCTTTATACATACCTGTAATTTAAAAGCAGTGTAAGGGAGGTAATCCAAACATAACATTGTACTTTTTTTAATTGTCCATTAACCAGGAAACCCTTGTATTGGCCCCTAATTCCTAAAGGGTTTGAGCCATAACCCCCTCTTTCCCAAAGCCAATCCTAACCATCCCTTTGTGGTATGGAAACTTGTGGTATAATTTCAGAGAGAACCATACACTGTTCCACAAGTTATTGTCTGTAAACTTGAATAAACTGCTTCGCTGAGCGCAGCTGGATACGCCCGCAGAGGTCTAACCCTGAACAGTTGGGGCAAAAATGGACACAATATTCAAGCTTGATACAGGTCTGAATTTGGATTGTAATTAAATATTTGACATATTATAGGTTTCTGAATAAATGTAGTCAAAGAACTTGAAATTGGTTATATGATTGAATTGAAGTTATATTCAATTAAAGATTTCTTGCTGTTGTGCAATACACTGTGCTGTTGCGCAATACTTAGTAAATCTGTTGTCAGACTATAAACAAAAAAAAATAAAGTTCCACACATAACAGAAATTTATGAAAAAAATTACTGCTCAAATCATTTTTGAGTTATTGACAGAAAACTGGGAAACCTCCCCTCATTTAATGAATACAACCCCATAAATCGGTAACGTAAAAACTGAATTTTAAAAAATTCAAAAGGGAAGTCACGTCAATATATATAAACAATACAGCAAAGTTTCATGAAGACTGTTCAAAGCGTTTTTGAGTTATTGTCCGAAAAGTGGAAAATCCCCCTTTTTGTAATGAATAAAACCCCATAAATCGGAAAACTATAGTCTAAAATTTATAAAAATCAAAAGGGAGATCATGACGATAGAAATAAACAATTCACCAAAGTTTCTGGCAAATTGGTGAAATAGTTTTTTTGAGTTATTGTCCAAAAACTGGAAAATCCCCCCTTTTTTAATGAATAAAACCCCAAAACTCGGAAACGGTAAATCCAAAAGGAGAAGGGGCCATTAGGCCCTAATTTGGCCCAAATATTAGGACGTAATGAAAAGTTACCATGAATATTCTTAACTTTGTCCAAACTACACTAAAATACGAGATGTTCAGAAAATGAAAACAAATTTCATATTTATCGAGTTACCATGGCAACAAATTATGACAAAATGTGTATATTTTTTAAAATGTCTTGATTTTCTTTGTTTTACGTAAACCTTTAGGTATATATAAGATTGGAAAAGTATGTGCGCACCCGAGAAACAACTTTATATTTGGTTAGAATATTTCAATAGTTATAATAAAGCTTCTCTAAAATTATTTTGTTTTTTCTTGCCTGCGCACGATGTTTCCTCGAAGGAAATAATGACGGAAAACTGCATAAACCTAGCAGTTTTCTATGTTTTATTTAAACTGGTGCATTTGATGACGTAATTGTGACGCCATAACATCAAAAATGTTGTAAAAATCAATTATATTTTTTGTATTTATGCATTTCCAAACATTATGTGCAAATTTGGAATAGTTCTTAAAAACTTTATTTTCTTGGGCAAAAACCGGGCCTTAATGCCCCTACTCCTTTATAAAAAATGAAAGGGAGCTCACGTCAATAGATATAAACAATTCAGCAAAGTTTCATGAAGACTGTTCAAAGCTTTTTGAGTTATTGTCCGAAAAGTGGAAAATCCCCCTTTTTGTAATGAATAAAACCCTATAAATCGGAAAACTATAGTGTAAAATTCATAAAAATCAAAAGGGAGATCATGACGATAGAAATAAACAATTCACCAAAGTTTCTGGCAAATTGGTGAAATCGTTTTTGAGTTATTGTCCAAAAACTGGATAATCCCCTCTTTTTTAATGAATAAAACCCCAAAACTCGGAAACGGTAAATCCAACATTTATAAAAAATGAAAGGGAGCTCACGTCAATAGATATAAACAATTCAGCAAAGTTTCATGCATATTGGCTAAAGCATTTTTGAGTTATTGTCTGAAAAGTGGAAAATCCCCCTTTTTGTAATGAATAAAACCCCATAAATCAGAAACATATAGTCTAAAATTATAAAAATCAAAAGGGAGCTCATGTCAATAGAAATAAACAATTCACCAAAGTTTCTGGCAAATTGGTGAAATTGTTTTTGAGTTATTGTCCAAAAACTGGAAAATCCCCCCTTTTTAATTAATAAAACCAAAAAACTTGGAAACAGTAAATCCGAAATTTATAAAAAACGAAAGGGAGCTCACGTCAATAGATATAAACAATTCAGCAAAGTTTCATGCATATTGGTTAAAGCGTTTTTGAGTACATGTGCGACATATTGACGACGGACAGACAGACGGACAGACGGTCAACGGTATACCATAATGGGTCCCGTAAACGGACGTATAAAAATGCTTATTCGAGCCCCTTTTTGGCCCCTAATTCCTAAACTGTTAGGACTATGACCCCAAAATCAATTCCAACCTTCCTTTTGTGGTTATAAACCTTGTGTTTCAATTTCATAGATTTCTATTTACATTTACTAAAGTTATTGTCCGGAAACCAAATGTCTTCGGACGACGCTGACAAAGCTGACGTGATACCAATATACGACTGCAAAATTTTTTGCGGTCATATAAAAATTTGAAATCGGAAATTTACCTATTATGGTCCAATATCCAAAATCTAATAACATTGTTATCATTAGCATATCAAAGAACCCCAAGAATTCAATTTTTGAATTGTTGATGAAATCAAACAAAAGTTTTAATTTAGGACCCTTTGGACCTCAATGGGGTATTATCTAATTAATAATGAAAATAAATACAGGTTTAGATTCAGCTTTTCAAAGAACCCTATATATATTCGATTTATGTTGAAATCAAACACAGTATAATTTTGGACCCCGATTTGGACTAACTTGAAAACTGAACTAAATATATGTTTATCAATAGACAAACTAAGCTTAGTTTTTAAGGGAGTTTGTTTCATCCAAAAAAAAAAATATATATAGCATTCAGAAAATAAGTTTATACAGAATAACAAACAAACCAACCACAAAATTCTTCAAACAATTTACAATAGAAAAGATGAAAAAAAAATCCAAAACGTCATTTATAATTAATACATTTGTTTGTTAGTACAATATCTATTAAAAATCTATATAAATTTATTTATACTGTCCTACAGATCATCAACACTTAGGAAACAGAAAATTTTCAAATAAATCTGTCATTACAATTATTATGGTGTGATAAGATATTCACCAGATGTTTTGTTATCTATTAGCATGTGAAAATTATTTAAAAACACTTAGTGTAAACAAATTTCTAAATTCTAAAATTTTTAGAAAAAAAAAGAAGGAACGAATTTGTCATATAAATTTTAGCAGCAATAAGTGAAATTAGGCATTAAGCTTAAATTTTAGGCAATAAGCTAACACCTAGGCAGTAAGTATTTTGCCTAAATGATGTAAGGCATTATTATCAAATTCTAGGATTTAAGCTTAAATCCTGAAAAATGCGTCCAGACATCAATCTTAATGTCTAAAATGTAAATGTGTGTAAATAAAAAGACATTTATCGAATGTTTAAATACATTTGGTACACAATAACATGACAAGAACTAACGTTGAAAATGTCAACTACCTGAAATAAAGTCACTAGTTCTGGCCACCTTAGTTTTAACTCAGATATAACCAAAGCTGTAAATTCACCACCATCATCAATTTGCAGTTTAAGGGGCGCACCAAAAATTGTGAAAACATCAATTAAATCGAAGTCACCTCTGAAGCACATTTTGACATGAGAGCTCTAATGTTACAAACTTTTGTTAGGTGATTCTATAGAAATTTATAGTTTCCATCTGAGTTTGATTGGAAAACCATTAAATCAACCTGTTCTCTACTGTTGAACTTTTTGAATAAAACGTGTTATACTACTTCTCCCTTCCCTAAATACTTTTTCTTCATGTTACAATTTTCACAAAGTTAAAGAAACAGTTCGATGGAATTAAGTGAAATATTTGATTAGCCATGGAATCACCATAAATATTTGCATTGGCCTTATTAAGTTGGTTAAATCATACAGTCTCTGTCGCCATGACCTGTGTATGTGCCTTTTCAAAAGTACCATACAGTTCCTCTAAAAAAACTCATTCTATTTAAATTTTCCTCATCATTCTCCTTTACTTTAACAAAATTTTTAACAGTAATGTTTTACATATTCAATGAAATCAATGGAACGATGATGTGAGTAAAAATTCATATCTACATTTTTCTACAATTGACGAGACCAAAACCAGCTCAACCAGTAAAGTGCAAATTTTTGTCAAATAATTTTCAGATAGAATCATCAATCACCCTCTTATCATTAGATACAATCACTTGTTTGAAACATACAATTTTTTTGTAATACCAATACAAGTTAGTACTGCTATGATATGGAAAAATACTAACATTTGAATATATCTGAAATGATGTTTGGCAATAGGTTGAATAAACATCATCAGCCTAAATATTTCAGGCAATAATTTAATGCCTAGGCGTTAGCTTATTGCCTAGGATTTAAGCTTAATTAATGACTAATTTTACTTATTGCCGCTAACATATATATATATATGCTTCCGCCTCAAAATTATATACTGTAAACCAACTAATTTTCGCGACTTTCGCGAGTAGGAAAATATAAATCGTTGCTAACATGTAAAACTTGGATCTTTCCATATTTAAATACATCAATTAAATTTGAAAATTGCGAAATTAAATCGCCACCAAATGGGCTAGAAAGAACTTAATTCGAAATAAAGTATCAGCGAAAATTAGTTGGTTTACAGTAAATTTTTAAAATTATTTGTGAATTTTGTTCAACCACTGATGCAGCCAAAATAAGCACCCAATGTTAATAATTTATCGAACCTCATTTGAGGGTATTCCTGCTTCATTTTTTTCCAAACATTTCATCTTCAGAAATGGAAGTGCACCCGGTTTGTACCATTCTTTCCATGAAGGAGGATTGTTGTAATATACAGATCCAAACAATCCTGTCTTTTTAACAGGTACATGTATCTCTCTTAAGGAATCTCTTTCCTCACCTTCTGCCATATTGTCAAATTCTGATCTGAAAGCAGAATCAACAATTGGTTTATCCTAAATTAATATACTTTCAATACTTTTAAAAATTTTCTGAATATAAGAAAATCTAAGATATTTATACCAAAGGAATACACCCAAGAAAATTCCCTTACTTATAGTAAAATTAATATAAAATTGAGAAGATGTGGTATGTGACAACTCTCCACAAGAGACCAAATGACACAGAAATTAACAACTATAGGTCACCCTACGGCCTTCAACAATGAGCAAAGCCCATACCACATAGTCAGCTATAAAAGGCCCTGAAATGACAAATGTAACACAATTCAAACGAGAAAACTAATGGCCTAATTTATGTACAAACTAATGAACGAAAAACAAATATTTTACACAGCATCAAACGACAACCACTGAATTACAGGCTCCTGACTTGGGACAGGCACATACAGAATTCACTTGAGGTCAATAAAGTTGTTTTATTGAATAAACAAGCTACAAAATGAATACATAATCCTGTGTCCACATCAATTAAAGAACAATTTCTTGATGTACTAAGAGTCCCTTGTTTGGCCTTAAAACTTAAAATCACTGGAAATACCACATTATAATCTTGCATTACTATTTGTCAATTGAAAACCACCTACCCATGCGGTTAAGTCAAAATCAGTACATGTAACTTCTCTCAAAAAATGCAAAATGAAGATGAGAAAATACAATTTAAGTGTTAGAAAATACTCGTAAATAATAAATTTGAGCTATAATTTAAATGAAGTGGCCTTAATTTTTTCTAATGGAGTGCATCTCTTTGTAATTGGATGTACTGTAATAGCTATATGAACTGATTTGAAAGTAAAACTAAATATCTAAAATCTGTTATCCAACTAGATTTGCTCACTTGACTATCCACAATAGAAAATTAAGTAACAGCAAATGAAATGTCTCTCCTAAGAATTACCAGAGAAATAAAGCCTCATTTATGGTTTAGGACAACTGTCTGTAAGGGCATTACAATGTCATCCAAGCACCATTTTGCATATTCCGATATGCTTTAAACAAACTTTGTTAGTAAGGGATTTGTGTTAAATGCATTAATGCAAATTAAAGGCAGACAGTGTATCAACTTCAGAATTTAAATTTGGAATCCTGTGTACATTTGGGTATTGATTAGACACATCAAAAAACTCTGAAACAGGAATACTTAAATAATTGCTAACAATTCAAGTTGTGAACTGCTGTTATTCTATTATAGATATAAATTTTACCAGTAGTTATTGTGTTGTTAAAAAATTATTGTTGAAAAAGGTTTAACATATCTTGTAATGGTCAGTAAGTATACTGCTTCGTATTGAAGGCCGTACTTTGACCTATAATGGTTTACTTTTACAAATTGTGACTTGGATGGAGAGTTGTCTCATTGGCCCTCATACCACATCTTCTTTTAACTAATATAGCAGCAAAATTTAAATAAAATTGCAGACACAGGGTTGACACAAGTGTTAAAATTCTGCCTATGCAATAAAATAAAAAAAAATGCAATATATATAGAAATAAGAAGATGTGGTATGAGTTCCAATGAGACAACTCTCCATCCAAGTTACAATGAGTAAAAAGTAAACAATTATAGGTCAAAGTACGGCCTTCAACACAGAGCCTTGGCTCACACCGAAATGCAAGCTATAAAGCGGCAGGGCCCTAAAATGACTAGTGTAAAACCATTCAAACAGGCAAACCAACGGTCTAATCTATATAAAAAACGAGAAACACTTATAAACCACATCAACAAACGACAACCACTAAACAACAGGTTCCTGACTTAGGACAGGTGCAAACAATTTGCAGCGGGTTTAAACATTTTAACAGGCGCCAGCCTTCATCCTAACCTGAAATAGTAGTGTAACATTACAACATAGAAAGACACACTATAAAATATAAATTGAAATGGCTTAAATCAATCAAAAAGACATATTTATAAAAACAAGTAAACATACACTGAATGAATAAATTTGATATAAGACACGATATAAATACAATATTAAATAAAAAAGGGGGGAGATGTAAAACATTGTTAAAAAGACAACTATAACCTTGGACAAAATGGCGTAAAATAAAATAATGTACACAGGTATTTAAATAAAAAAAATTGTGGTACAGAGTACAGAAATATTTTTACAAAATAAATAAATTTGTTGTTCATAGTACGAAAACAGAAGTGAAAATTTATCGTCATACTAAATGTATCTTTCAAATTAAACTGATCAATTTCAACAGGTATAATCCAATTGCTGTAGAAAATACAAATGAAAATTGCTCTACAAATCTGTGTGACTTTCAATTCTATCAAGTAACGAATTGAAGATATCAAGGAGAATGGTGAAGTTCATAATATTAATTTGCTACTACATTACATTACATTACTATGCATGACGAATAAAAGACACTTTAGGTCAATTTAAGCTTAAAATCCTCCATAGAGATCTGAATCTATCCAGACAAACTGTCTCATTGGCAATCATACCACATTTTCTTATCTATAAATTTTGAAAAAAGGACAAAACAAAATGACCGTTTCAGTAGCCCAATCAATCACAACAAATTTGTGTACGCTTTTTAAAATAATGCTTCAGTTTGGACAATGTGAAAAAGAATGAAAATATCATGACAGAAGACAATTAATTAAGTCTTTAAATTGATATTTGCCATCATAAAATAACTATTTTGAAAACATATCAAAAGATTGCATAAGCAAGGAACCTTGTATCTGACTCTTTGAAAGTTAACTCAAAACAGTGACAGACCTAAAGTATGATTCATTAAGGTTCATCATAACCTTTTCGCAAGTATGACTGTGTTTAAACTATAAAACTAAATTTGAGTACAGACAAACCTGTGCAAACTGGTAAAAAAATTGGATATGGCTGGACATAATCCAGATAATCATGATGTCTGCTAAGGGTATGTTTTTATTTTTATAGATACTTCATTGATAAAGTGTCAAAGCAATATCAAAATAGCCTTCCAAGTGTCATGAGTGTCTTAATTATTTGGACTAAGCAGGAGTCACAGACATATACATGCAAGTTTAACCTTTCTCAAAAGGTATGAAGTGCTTCACAGTATCATAAGTTATGACAGCTTTTATTATGTAATCATGGTAATTCTGTAATTTTTAAAAAAAAATTTATTTCATAGTTATGTACAAGCTTTATATAATCATGATAAATGTTTTACTCTCTCTATGTCAGGGAGAAGGGATACATCTGACTTAATCTTCATCTTGAGTACACAGCCAGAGACACATAAATTGACGATTTTAATTAGGAACTTTACCCCTTTCAGCACCAAAAACAACATTTTTGTAGATTAGAACCCACCACAAAATAAATTTTATATAATGAACATTATTTCATTGAATAAACAACTTTAACCTGTATGCTGTGACATTTAAAAGATATCTGGACTAGCTCCTTTAATATTAAAAATACCAGGCTTTCAAGTTTAAAGCTTATTTGTATTTTCGCCAATGTCTTCAAGAATAATTTTAGCGAAAATCCAAGTTATACACTTAATTTATATTAATACTTGAATAACTTGAGTAAGGAATACACTTGTCAATTCAATTCTTGTGGAAATGCATGGTTTATCATGAGTATTAGTTGAGATTGTGGTTTGAACTATACATATCACTAACTGTGAGTATATTTTTTCTACATGTATGCTTTGTCTGTTATCATTTTGAATGTCACTTTCAATATGGTAATAAACATCATGCAAAGGAAATAATGTGAATAAAACAAATGTGTGAAAAATGAAAGTTGTGAATGATAAATTGGACTACCAGGTGAGCTCTTATCTAACAATGGGTATCTAATGTGATCTTCTTGCAATATATATTCAGTTATCGGGTCTAGAATACCAATACTGTCATGACTGTCACCTTTTTTCACATATTCTTCCAATATTCAAGGACTGATCCTTTCCAAAATGTGTTTTAAATTCCAGAAAATTACAAAGATTCTGTGAAAAGCCAAAAAAGTTAATTACCATCAAGTAATAATGTTATTGACTTTTATTTATTAATATGACCATAGAGGGACATTATATATCTGCACAAAAATATTTGATTAAAACAGAGAAACTGAGTGAGCAGTATCATTTTATTTTTAATTCGCCATCTTCTGATATCTGACAGGGAAGAAAAAAAGAATTTCAAAATCCATCCCCTGTAAAACACGATATGCATGTATCTTCCAGATTCTTTTCAATTGAAACCTATATATGAAACCACCTTTCTTTGTCTTTACAACATGCCATTGGCCAAATGTTTTGTTTTTGGAAAATCCAACATGTTTCACTTTTAAAACGAAAGTAAACAACGTAGATATTACCGGAAGTATTTCGTATTTATCTCCCTTGTTGTAACATTTTTGGAAAAAGCAAGACAGGCTAAAGCTTCAGAAGATACATAATTCAAATGCCTCTCCCTCAAGCTCTTTTAGCTCGACTTCAAAAGCGAGGAATTGTTAAGGATGAGCAAAAATCAGGTTAATTTTCATTTGATTATTCAAAAGCAGAATACTTACGCCAACAGTTATCTGTGATTTACCCTAGGGTAAGGGTTCAAATTATTTTAGGGCCCAGTGACCACAGCATCTGTATGAGTTGTTTCATTTGAGATGTATGCATTGGTATCCCCGTCCGTTTATCGCTGATTATAATTTATGATAAACAATAAATATTTAAGTGCAGTCACATAATTTGGTCCACGTTCAACATATCATAATTTATGCACTGGCTATGATAACGTTGAAAACGTAACAACAACCCCAAAACACATTGTTATGTTGGACAATAATTGCCCGAATGTTAGATTGAATTAGGAATAGGAACCGATAATTTACAAATGTAACAATAATATCTGTGTCTACGGTTGCGTTGTGTTAGTGTTACGTTAGATTTAATAAACTTTGAACCGACTCTACAGTAGTTTCCGGTAAACTCACCCACTCCCATTTACTTCCGTAATTGTCACTTCCGTGAATATTTCGGCTGCTATTTTATTCATAGGAACTGTACTTATCATCACCTGCATGTCAAATTTTAAAGAAAAATCCTTTACGCCAACAGGTATCTGTGATTTACCTTAGGGTAAGGGTGTTGTTTCCATGTGATTGAATTTACACAACTTATTTATATACATTAAAGTTTTAAAAAATGAAACCTGGTTGCAGTACTATAAAGAGACTAACAGGGATTTAATTCGGGCAATTATTGTCCAACATAACAATGTTTGTTGTGGGTGTTGTTTCCATGTGATTAGGGACTTTCCGATTTAATTTTCCTCAGAGTTTTGGTATTTTTGTGATTTTACTTTTTATTAAGAAAATATCTAGTAATATATAATACAGTTCCTAAAGCTAATTAATGATAATCATATTATTGCTTACAAAACTCATTTTTGACTTCAAATTTTTGTTTGTTTGTCTGGAATCCCTTTATAAGTGGTCTTTTAATAGATCACCTTTTCCTTCCATAAATATGTGATAAACAGGCCTGACCATACATATTTACTGTGCATGGGCGGATTTACCGAACAAACACATTTCCGATAAAAGCACAGATGACCCACTTGTTTTGTTGATTTTAAAATTTATTTCAGATATTTTATGGAAAATGAGATAAACTACTCAAAATTGATTTGTCAGTGAATTTATTTATATTAAATTTGATACAATTTGTATATAATTAAGCAGAAATTCATACGATCAAAGCCTTATGTGGGCGGATTTACCGGACTGCATTGTATATGAAAATATTTCTATATAAGGTGCATAGCTCTATAAATAAGTAGTGTAAATTTTTTATGACTGTGAGAATTTTTTTAGTGCTGTCTGTCACCAATTAAATCCCTGTTAGTCTCTTTATAGTACTGCAACCAGGGTTCATTTTTTAAAACTTTAATGTACCGGAAGAACTACACACCTATATCGCATATCGATGGAAAGAGAAAAATTCTCACACAGTCCTAAAAAATTTACACAACTTATTTATAGAGATGATGCACCTAATATAGACATATTAAGATCAGATCAACCTATCAATCTCAATGACTTTTGTTTCAATTATTCATTATTTAGTATAGGGCTGGATTGACTAGGGCCAAATCTTCTTTGGCAGGAACGACGTGATGGACACCATTTAAAATTAACTGACTTATCCAACAAACAAAATAACCGGCCAGCCTTGTAATGGATTTTTTGAGTTAAAAACTATATGCTTAACAAGTCAGTATCATAAAGGTTCATATGATAGGTCACCTGAATTTTTTTTAAATAACATGTAGGACTCCAATTATGAAATTTTTTCTTATTGATGTGAATAAACAAGAAGTTGGGTACATGTATATGTCAATAAGGCAGTAACCCAACACCACCAAATAACTAAAGTTAAAATTATTGTAAACAAAAGCTGACAAAAGATGCACCAACAGATAAAGTCATACACAATGACATATAAGAGGTAGTTAGTTATTAATATCCCATGCTCCAACTAGAATTTGAAAAAAGAGGGCACTTAGAACTGACTGTTTATACATAAAAATTCGTAAGGGTTCCGCGGAACCCAGCGTCTCGCCTACTTTTTCTGTTAATTGCAGGCTCAACAAAAATGAGGAAGTAAATCAATAAAAATATTCCTCTTGATACTATCTTTTGATTGTAAGAAGCTTCTGTCCAAGTATGGTAAAAATCCAGGATAGTTTATGAATCTAATAAATGTTTAAAAACTTTAACTGTAGACTGAATGTAATGTTAACTGGAAAAAAACAAAATTTCCTTCTAGATACTAGCATTTGATCATAAACAAGCTTCTGTCCAAGTTTGGTACAAATCCAAAATAGTATAAGAAAGTTATTAAAATTTTAAAAACTTTAACCACAGTGTGAATGTGTTGTTTCCCAGCAGAAAATCTAAGTCCATTTTAAAGTAAAATAAGGAAAAAATGGATTTATTTTTTACAAAATTTACTTCTAGATACTATCGTATGATCATAAACAAGCTTCTGTCCAAGTTTGGTACAAACCCAGGATAGTTAAAGAAAGTTATTAAAATTTTAAAAACTTTAACCACAGAGTGAATGTAATATTTCCCAGCAGAAAAACTAAGTCCATTTATAAGTAAAATACGGAAAAAATGGAATTTTATTTTTACAAAATTTACTTTTGGATATTATCTTATGATCATAAACAAGCTTCTGTCATAGTTTGGTAGAAATCCAGGATAGTCTAAGAAAGTTATTAAAATTTTAAAAACTTTAACCACAGAGTGAATATTTGTGGACGCTGCCGCTGACGGAATGTAGGATTGCTATGTCTTGCTTTTTCGACTAAAGTGGAAGGCTCGACAAAAAGGGGGCATTCACTTCTAAATTTGCATATTATTTATATTGTGAAGTGAACTATAATACTACACACACATTAAAAATCATTTCATTTAAGATAATCCATGAAGCACCATGATCATACATGAACTTTGTTAATAATGTAGAAAAATAAAATCATTGTTATGCCCCACACACAATGCTTTGCGGGAGACATAGAAAAACTGGGCATCTGTCTTTTAAGGGCTATCACGTAAACAATTGGCCGTTTCAGAATCAAATGAATTCTGGGTAAGCCCTCTCACATGTACAATTCTTGCCAGATTTTGATCAAATTTTATGTCAAAGGTATATATCAGCAATGTCTCGGACAAGTTTTTCGAAAATCAGTGACAAACAATCGTGATAATCCTAGGAAAAACACTTTGAAAAATTTTCAACTCATTCCTATGATCCGTTGAAAGTAATGATTGAGTTTCTGTTGCTTGATATGTTCTAACTTTAATTACTGCAAATTAATGATAAATGATACTCAAAAGAACATATATCTCAATTCAGAACTTGTGACAATAAGTTCACTGTAATTACCGGTATGTCTCGTACACAGTGATCTTTAACAAATTGGTAATATGATGAACATTCATTGGTTTATTTATACTGCTTTAAGTTGCAGCCCTTTGAAAGAGTCTTGATAGAATTTAATAGTTAATAAACCATGAATGTATGGATAAGAGTTGTTTTGGGGTTGTTCCACTTTCATGATATGATTTAAAAATAAGGAGATGAGGTATGATTGCCAATGAGACAACTATCCACCAAAGTTCAAATAAAGTGGATGTAAGCAATTATAGGCAACCGTACATGTTTTGTACAAATGTACCTTAATTTTGTTATTTCACTTTACTTGTAACAACAAATATTCTAAATATAACTTCTTTACATGTACATGTAGTTGCCATTTCGTAGTTATAGGCTAAAAGAACATTTTTTTTTAAGGAAATGCAGCTAGGAAATATAGCATTGTCAAAAGACTATATCTCTTTTACGATACTCTTTAGAATTTATCATGTTCTTATATGCTCTTGTTCTAGATTTTATTTCAATTTTTAGCTGATGAAGTAGAAGAGGTTTTTGCAGAAGACTATGATGATCCTGTGAAAGAAGCAGAATATGCAAAACCAGCAGACATTCCTGAACCTCATACAGAAGAGGAGGAGGAGGAGGATGATGAGGAAGATGGACCTCTCATCCATCACATTCCAGCATGCCCTAATAGATCTAACAAATACCACACATGTGTGGATTACTGCAAAGAGAAGTGGGGAATGAAGGAATTTCAGAAAGACTCTGATATGATAAGGAAACGAGATAGAATGTTAGGGAAATATCCATTACCAGATGGTTGGTTAGAAGTGGCTGATCCAGAAACGTAAGAAAGCAGTAGAAAAAACTACACATACATATACATATATTGGGTTTTTCACGTTTAGGAGGAAATCATATTAAATGGTACATTTTATTCAAATTTAAGTGCAACATTGTGATTTTAACAAATACTGAATTCAAGCCAATAGACCAAGAACACCTCAAAACTTGGTTCCCATATATATATATATATATAGTAAAAATCCGGGAAAATAAGTACCCCATCAATAATAATGAATCCTCTTCTAACATTGTCTAAAGGGAGCCTTGAAAAGTGATTAAATAAGAATATTATTTTTCTTCAATTTACTTATAGAATAACATTATACTTTTTTTCCCTTCAGAAATAGATACTATTACTGGAACTTAGTTACAGATCAAGTGTCATGGCTGTCACCTGTACATCCTTCTGCTCAAATCACATTATCAGCTGACAAAATACAAGGTAATTACAACCCTTCATTATTTAAAAAAATGTACAAGGCAATTGTCTCTCTTACTACTGGTAGCTACCAGGTTACAAAGCAATAATCAACTCTTTATAACCTCACTTATCTCCCTTTAATAGTTGACAGGATTCCAGTATAGACATAAGCAGATGTGTTATGGTTGCCAGAGATGCAAATATCCACAAAAGACTGCAGCTGCTAGGTTATGTCCCTTTATCAGCTAAATGATTTCATTAGCTGGCCAAATATAAAATTATTATCTTCTTAATGAAGATTCAGTTGAGAAAATACAAGATATTGATCTTCTTTAATAACTGTTAACAGTTATCTCTTCCTATCTAAATTAGTGGACTATATTTCATTTTAATCTCTCTTGTTTGACTGTTTTTTTTATATTTTATAGACATTTTGAATTATTATGTTTCATTTTAGGCATATCATAATTTTTTGTATATTTTAGCAATATTTGGAGATTCAGCTATAGTGAGTAGTCAGGATGATGATTTACATCTCAGTGACGAGGAGGAGATGGATGTTAATGATTCAGAGAGTTCACCTGTAGGTTTTTTTTGTGGTTTATGAATTGCTTAATAGTTTCTGATTATCAAAAAGGTATTATGTAAGTAATTGTCCTAAAAAGAAGTGACTATTTATTTGAAAGCTCACAATGTAGGTATTCCCTATGTAACTGTCCTAAATAAAAAGAAGCATAATTTATTTAGGACAATTACAGAGGGAATACCTACATGTGAGATTTCAAATAAATAGACACTTCTATTTAGGACAATTACATACAGATTACCTACATGTGAACTATGAAATAAATGAAACTTTTATTTAGGACAATTACATGGGAATAATTCCACATGTAGGTAATCTGTATGTAATTGCCCTAAATGAAACCGTCTATTTGAAAGCTGACATGTAGGTATTCTGTCTTGTATGAAATGCTTATGATAAATCAGGCAGTTGGTTTTTATACGCCCGTTTACGGGACGTATTATGGTATACCGTTGACCGTTTGTCCGTCCGTCTGTCCGTCCGTCGTCAACATGTCGGACATTAACCAATATGCATGAAACTTTGGTGAATTGTTTATATCTATTGATGTGAGCTCCCTTTCGTTTTTTATAAATTTCAGATTTACCGTTTCTGAGTTTTGGGGTTTTATTCATTAAAAAAGGGGGGATTTTCCAGTTTTCCGACAATAACTCAAGAATGCTTTCACCAACTTGCAAAAAAATTTTGGTGAATTGTTAATATCTATTGACATGAGCTCCCTTTCGATTTTTATAAATTTTAGATTTTATGTTTCCGAGTTACAGGGTTTTATTCATAAAAAAAAGGGTGATTTTCCAGTTTTCGGACAATAACTAAAAAATGCTTTCAGCAGTTCTCATGAAACTTTGGTGAATTATTTATATCTGTTGATGTAAGCTCCCTTTGGAATTTTATAAATTTTAGATTTTACATTTCAGAGTTATTGGGTTTTATTAATTAAAAAAGGGGGGATTTTCCAGTTTTTGGACAATAACTCAAAAAAACGATTTCACCAATTTGCCAGAAACTTTGGTGAATTGTTTATTTCTATCGTCATGATCTCCCTTTTGATTTTTATAAATTTTAGACTATAGTTTTCCGATTTATGGGGTTTTATTCATTACAAAAAGGGGGATTTTCCACTTTTCGGACAATAACTCAAAAACGCTTTGAACAGTCTTCATGAAACTTTGCTGTATTGTTTATATATATTGACGTGACTTCCCTTTTGAATTTTTTAAATTTCAGTTTTTACGTTACCGATTTATGGGGTTGTATTCATTAAATGAGGGGAGGTTTCCCAGTTTTCTGTCAATAACTCAAAAATGATTTGAGCAGTAAATTTTTTCATAAATTTCTGTTATGTGTGGAACTTTATTTTTTTTTGTTTATAGTCTGACAACAGATTTACTAAGTATTGCGCAACAGCACAGTGTATTGCACAACAGCAAGAAATCTTTAATTGAATATAACTTCAATTCAATCATATAACCAATTTCAAGTTCTTTAACTACATTTATTCAGAAACCTATAATATGTCAAATATTTAATTACAATCCAAATTCAGACCTGTGTCAAGCTTGAATATCGTGTTCATTTTTGCCCCAACTGTTCAGGGTTGGACCTCTGCGGGCATATCCAGCTGCGCTCAGCGAAGCAGTTTATTTCTTTTGAATTGTTTCAAATTTTGCTATACTGTATTTTCATTTATTTTTGTGGGTTTTAATTTTTCCTGGATTGTGGGAAAATGGTATGTTCATGGATATTTTCTTGTTTTGCCAAAGTCTGCATACAAATCTATAGATAAATTGTACTAAAATGAACATTTACATTTGTGGTTTACCTTTACCCACAAATTCCAGGAAAAATTGGAGCACAAATCTTAATAAAAAATGCTTCTTGTTTCCTGCGTCCACAAAGGGAAAAGCAGGTCTAGTAACAACTTGACTCCATTCTTCTGTCTGTTCAAAAGACCTTAGATAGAAAACTTTCATCAAAGTATTCTTGGCTTCTATGACAGGGAATTAATTAATAATTGGTCTGCAGCTTCATAATGTCGTGTTGTAGTGAGTAAGCATTTTTTTTTACATTCACTGTGAAGCCACTTCCTGTTTGCCATTTGTTTGAAATTTTCCAACAGTCCACTCATTGTACTAGGAAAATTTTCGTATAACTTTTTTTGGTTCCTATAGAAGGGAATGATTTAATAATTGGTCTGCAGCTTCGTAATGTTGAGTTGTAGGGAGTAAGCAATTTTACATTCACAGTCTAGCCACTTCCTGTTTGCAGATAGTTTGAAATTTTATAGCAAGGGATATTTTTTTATTGGGCTGTAAAGGTGTTGACTGAAGTACATTTTGTATGAAACACAGAAGCAATTATAGAATATTTATCCCTGCAATCAGCTTTTGATATTGTCATATTTAGATACTTTTCTTACAACTGTGGCTTGGACAAACACCCTTCTACATATGTCCATTTTGTACATGCCAATTAAGTTGAGCTTTTTTGTTAACCTTGTTATCAGAGATTGAGATATTTTTTACTTGTAAAATTATTTGTATCATAAGTATGTCATTGATCAACGACTACCCAGAAAGTCTTTTTGACTTGCAAATTTTGTGTTTTAGAGATTTTTTGATGAATCAAACATATTTCAACTTTACATCGCTATTGTTCAATTCTTAGCATGTTTAAGTTTGATTGAGTTTTACATTTGTCAATTGTCCATTCCTGAAAAGCCTTGTTTATATACAAAAAATAATTTACTACTTACCCGGGTAATAATTTTTTACAGTTTAGCACAGTTCAGCATAATTTGATTGATGAAAGCCTGCATTTTGTGCTTGAGATGCTTTGGTAATATTTATGTTTGAAGTCCATTTCTTAGAAATCTAATATGGTTCACATGGTAGTCATAACCTACCTTTTCATCTTTATTACTTTGGCTGAATGTTTGCATTAAAGTCTTGTTTATTGTTAGAACTGAATTTAATTTTTTTTACAAACTTCATCATTTTAATGTTTTTTTACTTAGGCCAATGTTTAACTGCCTATATTAATTTTGACACCAGTAAATCCATTAATTGTATAAACCTCCTCTTGTTTGTTTTTGTATTTTTTAACACATATTGATTTTGACAGCATCAGCACGGACATCACAGCAAATCTAAAGATCAAATTCAGTAAAAAATAATGGCCATCATCTTCGCTAGCCAAGGGTTACGATCCACTTCCCTCCTCTCCACCCTTGGCAGATTAAGCCAACATTTGTGATAACAATGTTGCGCCATCGATCGGAAGATTAAAGTCACGCCCATTCCTAATACATTATTCTTGACCAATGGTAGCACTTGAACTCTTCAATTTGGAGGTAAAAACACGGTAGCGTCTAGATTCTACACACTTGGTAAAGCAGGAAACGAAAATAAACGTTGACATTAATGCATTTGTGCAAGAAACATACACAGGAACTTCTATTAGTTGTTTAAAAACATTCAAATTGTCACTAAATATAGTCGTATGTTTAGGGATGTAAAGACTTGTTGCACAATAAGCACGTGGCAATTATTTACATACACTTTCTACATTTACACGTGATCATGCTATATGCGCTTTTTGATTGGATGCAGTGAGTTTCGACTGCAACCAATGAAAATCATTACCTTGTGTCTCCGAAATTCTATCTCAATCCGCCAAGGGTGGAGAGGAGGGAAGTGGATCGTAACCCTTGGCTAGCGAAGATGAATGGCCATATGACACCCACTTTTCCTCAAGACTTGTAATGCAATAGTTTTTCCTCACAATTTACTTTCTCCAAGAAATGTATTTTAGATGTTCTTATAATTTTTCAACAGAGTAGTAGTTCATCCAGTGAATCTGATTCTGATGAAGAGTATGAGAGAAAGCGTCAGCATACAGATACTAACAGACAAGATGACAGGAGAGGTGGCAGAGGAGGAGGTGGGGGAGCTGGTAGAGGAGCTGGCAGGGGAGGTGGTGGTAGGGGTGGCAGAAGGAATCAAAATAAAAAAGAAGAACTGGATCCAATGGACCCTGCATCTTACTCTGAAGTAGCAAGGTATATTTAGCTTTCTTTTGCAAAACCATAGGAAACACAAAGAAAACAGAAAAAAACTGAGCAGTGTTCATAAATTCATACCCCAGTTCCCTGTAATTCCTTTTTAATGCTATGAGAAACCGCAAAAATAAATCAGATCAGAAATGGTTATAGGAGGTGCACAATGGCATTGTGTAATAACAATTCTTTGAATACATTGGATTCCACTCAGTTGTTTAGGAGGAGTTGCAGTTATAAATGCATTTTTCTTTTTTAGACGGCGATGTTCCTTTGGCTCCATCATACGGTCTTTATATATCCCAACTCGTTCGTTATGCCCGTGTGTGTAGTGATGTCATAGATTTTAACGAACGTAATCAATGCATCGCTGGTAAATTATTAAGTCAGGGATTTCGTTACCATAAATTACGTAAAACTTTTACTAAATTCTTTCATAGATACAAAGATTTGATTAGTAAATTTGGCTGTACCTGTAGAAAATGGTATTTCACATCCTAAATTTTACGGTAATATTGTACTTAAAGCGTGGGAATCACTATGTGATCCATGTAAACTCATCGAACCTTTACAGAGGCGTATTTAGAGGGTTTTTCAGGGGGCCGGGCCCCCCCTTTTGTGGGAAAAATTTTGTTGCTTATATAGGGAATCACTGAAACATGACTGGAGCGGGCCCCCTCTTAGGCAGTCAGCGGGCCCCCCTTATGAAAATTTCTGGATCCGCCACTCCTTTAAACAAACTTATAAGTAAAGGTTATCTTATCAATGTTGTAATTAGATCTTTGAATATAGTTTACATTGGCACTAATATCGATTTTGTCATCAGCAAATTAAAACATAACTAAATTTGTATTCTTTTCAAATGGGATGTATAAAGACACACCCACGTTCATTTTGATCTATAAAGAGGTTAACTCCTAACTATTCTATTGCCTGTCGATACATTTATTTTTGGCATTGCACTAGTCATGTCTTCTTTGACTGACATACCTGTCAACCTATGACAATGAATATGCAGGTGATGACCTGCATAGAAGAATGAAATCTCAGGTCATAACGCGTACGAACTTTTTCAAGCTGAATTTCAGTATTTCGGGGACATTTTTCTTATAATCTATATCAAAATTTCCAAAACATGTCCACATGGTTAAGTAATTTAAAATTGTACATATTATTATTTCATTGCACCTGAAGGCCATTGATAGATTTGTGTTACATTGCCTTAATTCCTGTTCATATTCATTCTATGACATACAAGTTGCCAATTTGTGTTTTCTTTACATGCATTTGTGTAGCTTTTAAACAGGAGAACATATCATATGTTGATATTAGGGTATAATAAAATAAAGTTACACAATTAAAGGAGGTATAGATGAAAAAAGTAAAAAATTTTATTTTTTAATTGTTCTAAGGTAGAACAATAAGTAAAAGTATTATTCTGATATGTTTGTGCATTCAATTCATTTTAGATTGATCTTTTTAACAAAAAAACATAAGTTTAAGGAGTATATTGTGAATTGACAAAAAAGGGGAAGTAACTCAAATTGTTTTTAAAACAACTTTGAAATACACAAATTATTTACGACCTAAAGCTAAGGTAATTGGTGTTAATTAACAGTGTGTTTGACACCAAAGCTGTCAAGTGAAGCCATGCACTGAAATGGGTCAATTGAGCTGAGTTTACACAGCTAGTTGAACTTCTTGTCCAGGAAGAATTACTAATTTTCTGGTCTTTCATTGAAATCACTTTATATCTAATTAGTCTGAAGGCTAAGGAATCCCGGTGAAAAAGGGTTATTTTCTGAATTCCCAGGTTATTTGGTCACCCAGCAGGTGTTCCGGGTGACCCCTCAGAATTGTGAAAATCTCGGGTCACACCCACAGGATTCGCGTCAGTTGACAGGTATAGACTGTCCATGACGTTAAAATACTAAATCCCTGGGATGTGTTTTAGTTGATTTTAGTCTCTGATGCATGATTTTTTATTATTAATTGTTTTTGGCTTTTAATTAACTAGCTGTCAGTAACTGCGAGTACTCTCAAATCGTACTTTCTTGTTTATTTAACCTGTTGATACTAATTGTAAGGCTTTTTTGTTATTTAATGTTTACTTACTCAGGGTTATATCTGGTCTATATACCAGCTTTGATAGTGTTTGGTATTACTATAAATTTTCACTTCCTCGTACTATGAACATCAAAATTATTTATTTTGTAAAAATATTTCCTTTTTCCATTTGAACTGTACACGTATACCTAACAACAAAATTATTTTCATTTTCCTGTGTTTACAGTTATTGCAAATGGCTGATATTTTTGTTCTAGCTTATTGGTTTTCTTAAATTGTTTAACATTTCACAGTGGTATAACATGTTACTTTAATTATTCTTCCCTTAGTTTATTTATTTTGTATTTACATTGTATCATAGATCAAATTTATTTGTGCAGTGTATGTTCACTGGTGTTAATATGTCTTTTGATTGAGTTAAGCCATTTCAATTGATATTTTATAGTGTGTCTTTCTATGTTGTGATGTTACACTATTGTTTCAGATAAGGGTGAAGGTTTGGTACCATTAAAACGTTTAAACCTGCTGCAATTGTTTGCACCTGTCCTTAGTCAGGAATCTGATGTTCAGTAGTTGTCGTTTGTTGATGTGGTTCATAAGTGTTTCTCGTTTTTTATATAGATTAGATTGTTGGTTTTCCTGTTTGAATGGTTTTACACTAGTAATTTTTGGGGCCCTTTATAGCTTGCTGTTCGGTGTGAGCCAAGGCTCTGTGTTGAAGACCGTACTTTGACCTATATTGGTTTACTTTTATAAATTTTGACTTGGATGGAGAGTTGTCTCATTGGCACTCATACCACATCTTCTTATATCTACTTATCTATTTGTCATGTTTGCATATACAGTAAAGACTATGTTTTGATATGGGAAACCCCAAAGATCAATCAGATAAAAAAGTAAAACAGGAGATGCACAATGTGATTAGGTACATGTATTGAAATTTTGGACTTTTTCAAGATAATCTAGTTAGTGGTTGAGGATGCATTACCGATACAAATTGAAGAATGACAAATGGACACAATGATCACTTACCAGGGGGATGGGGTGGGTTGGGTATATAATGATAAATAAGGAGAAATCATAGGATAAAAATTGTAGAATGACAAATGGATGCCATGTTTGCTTACCAGGGGTATGGGGTGGTGCAATATAATAAGGAGAAATAAGGAGAAATCATATTATCAAGTATGCAAGTGTTAATATATACAGATACAAAGGTAGCAATTTCTCTTGTAACTCATTATTTCCACTTTTTTATCCGCTACTGCTCCTGAACAGAATGAAAGAATTTTGTGCAACTTTCACAGAATCTTACTCATATGATGTACTTTTGCACCTCTTATTTCATTTCTCAATTCAACTGATTTTGGGGTTATCTTTGGCATGGCATAGACTTTGTCATATTACCACACTATAGTACACTTTTAGATCTGCTCCTCCTCCCAAAGCTCTAATCAGACTTTAATGAACTTTTTCATACTGATACATATTTATACCCCCGCTTTAAAAAAAGGGGGGTATACTGTTTAACCGCTGTCTGTCCGTCAGTCTATCCATCCATCCATCCGTCAGTCCATCCTTCCATCAAGGATTTCTGAAATTTGGTTTCAGGGTTTATATAAGTCAGCTATACCGTGTGATGGGTTTTCAGACTATCACTCAACAACTTTCGGTTTACCTTATACTTTTAGTGGGGCGGGGGTATCATTAGTGAGCAGTAGCTCACAGATTCACTTGTTCTGTATGCAGATTTTCCTAATTGCAACAATTAAACAAGCATTTTTGTCCTTTCTTCAAAAATTAATAATAATAAATGCATGCAATAATTTCTGAATTTATAGTAATCTCCACAATATAATGCCTTGTGCACTTCCTTATTTTGTTTTTTTAGTCCACATCATTTTTGGGGTTCGCCTAAGCAGATCATAGGACTTGCCATTGCTGAATGTGTGGGTTGGGATTATTATTTTGTGAGTTTTGCTTGCAGTACCTATAGTTTATTGTTCAAAACATACTTCAGGGTGCATTTTATAATTTCAGGGGCTCTTGGTCATCTGGACTTGATAGAGGTAATGAGGCAAAGACAGGAGCAGACACTACAGCATCTGGACCTCTATTCCAACAGAGACCATATCCTAGTCCTGGTGAAATCATGCGGCGGAATCAGGCAAACAAAAATTGACAAGACTTTTCTGCGATAAGTCAATCAACTGGACATATCAAATGTGCCTGAATGATCTGAGTGAATGGACACTATTGACATGGTGCAAAAATTTGTTTAACATCCTCCATCAGATTCAGTTATAGGTGGACTATTTCAGTATTTAAAACACTTTTGTTAGACTTGTAATACGGGGATAAAGTAGATCAGGCCAACTTCAAGAGCTCAAACATATTCAAATACAGTGACATGCTTGAACAATTTTTTCATTACATATGTATGTTCATTCAATATTTTCATTGCATTTTTTTTGTATTAAAGTTAGTATATCTGTGAAGCTTTCTTTTATTTTGACATATTTCAAACAACTTTTGGTCCAAATTAGGTCACAAAAAGATGCTTTGTAGTACAGTAATTCATGTGTTTAAATAACTTGAATCATTTGCCGATATGGTGTTTACAGCTGTCAAGTTTGACGATGGACTGTTTGAAAGCATACATTGTGCATGTGTTACTCTATTTATTTGCATCTGGTCAGTTCAGAATAATTTTTTTCAGTACTTATAAGGTATTGAAATTGATATCTGATTCAGATGACTAAACCTTTGATTTAAGTTTTAATTAATCAATTTGACTCCAACCGTATATCAGGATATTTTTAAAGCTGAATGCTCACAGAGACATATATACACAGAGATTGGCAACTGTAACAGTGGTCAGCGAAATCCAATTAAAAACACGCATCACACGAGACTTTAACGAGATCGCCATTTTGCATCTGATCATGACAAGTTCAGCACCGCTTCGATTTTTATTTTACATCAAGCATTTCAAAACAGCATAATGTAAGTATATATTTCAATTTCGTAAATTATTTACCTTGTTTTATTCAGTTTGTAGTAATTGTTAGTTAAAATATTGTGACGATTAACGTTTTATTGTGGTCAATAATAAGGGGAAAGCTTGGCCGACATGGACGTTATGAAAATTTTTTACACGAACGTATTTTTTATTAAAACCTTTTCATTCGAAAAGGAATAAAACCATTTATGAGATGAATCACTTTTCACAAGACATATTGGTTTTGTGTAAATATGTTGAATTTTTCATTAAATCACCCACTTTGATGCAATTTACAATTAAAATTCAGTATTCTCGCTGTCGGCCACGTTCAATTTTTAAAATATGAAGACAGGCCCCTGTCCATGTCTACAGTCAATAAACTTTCCCATCTTTAGAGAAAAATTATTCCCAGCACATGAATTACTTTCTTATGACATACTGGATTTGTATATAACAGTTGTTTTTTACATATTTTCACCCACTTTGATGCAATTTACAATTAAAAATGACCATTCAAGCTGTCGGCCATTTTCATTCTCTTCAATATAAAGACAGGCCCCTGTCCATGTCTACAGTCAATAAACTTTTCCATCTTTAGAGAATAATTATTCCCAGCACATGAATTACTTTCTTATGACATACTGGATTTGTGTATAACAGTTGTTTTTTCCATATTTTCACCAGCTTTGATGCAATTTACAATTAAAAATGACCATTCAAGCTGTCGGCCATTTTCATTCTCTTCAATATAAAGACAGGCACCTGTCCATGGCTACAGTTTATAAAATTGTCCATCTTTAAAGAACAAATGTACCCATCACCATTGATCACAGGAATTACTTTCCCAAGACATACCGGTTTTGTGTATATAAATAGTTTTTTTCATTATTTCCACCACTTTGATGACATTTACAAGTTTATATACATGTATATTTACATTCAGTATCTGACAGCATTTTTTTTTAACAGGATCCTGCATGTTATAAAAGAACAAAGATGTTGATCAAATTTACCTAACAGTGCAGCATACAAGAGATGTAATATCATACATGTGCTGAATGTAGGACTCCCTAGCCTTTCTGATTGAAAAAAAGATTCCCTGGCAGACAGGAACAACTATTAGTGAGGACTTTTTTCAAATGTTACTGCACAGTCATGTAGTGGACCGATTACATGTACTACTATCAATGTGATACTAAAAAATGGTTTTGTAAGAGAGAAAATGACATGTGCTTATCCTGACTGTGAAAACACCACATTATTGTAGTTCAAATATCTTAGTTCATATGCCAAACTTGATGTACATGTGTATGCGATTTTTGTGCAAGTGATGGTGACATCCTTGAACTAAGAATAAATACAAGACTCCGCATTCAATCTATTGAATTTGAAACAGAAGTGGCAGTTGTGCAGAGACTATACGGATAAAAATGCAAATAAATATCTTGTGTTCAACTTCATTTGTCTTCTTTACGTTTACAAAGTATACATGTACATAATTTTTACATACATGTATAACAATATGATAATGTAGTATGATTGCCAATGAGACAATGATTTACATTTATGACTATCATTGGAAGGCTACTCTATAATATCTTTGTATATCATGAGAATGGAAATGCTACCTTTGTAGCATAAAGGTAGCATAATGTAAGAAAAGGGAAAATGTTCATTTATTCAACAACACTCCTGTGAATATATAACTTGACAGTACTAAAGGCAAAATATTTCGTTTCACAAATTCCTTCCTTTCCTCGGAAAATAACATATTTAATTGTTTACATGAAATGACAAAATGTGTAGAATAAGAAGCAAGAAATGTTCACTCTACTTGTACACTACTAGTCGCTCATATTAGTCATCATCTATGTTTGTTTCAGTCCTTTAGCAATGGTGCTTGTTTATATTTATCTGTTGTGTTGTGTTGTTTCAGTTTTACATGTCCTCATTCTGATCACTGTTTCACCTCTCCTATTTTTAAAAATGTAAATGCAAATATTTTCTGCAATAAATTGAAAAGGCACAGCTGCTATGAATATTCAGAAATGTGAGGTATATGTCAATGAGACAACAACCCAACGACAAAAATATTCTTTGCACATCTATGAATGTTTAAGAATTCTTGTGGAGGTCAAAAGCACATAACGTGTACTTATATATTGGTGATCTGGTACATGTATGTAAGAGACCAAGCAGTTTATATGCTTATAAAAAAACTGATATTAAAATGAATTCCTGTATAACAAATTCCGGGAATGAGACACTATTTTATTTAAACCAGATGAGATATTAGTGGTAAAGGTTTAAACAGAAGCAGGAGATGTCAAGGGGCAATACAAAAAGTACAAGGTCATGTAACACAGACAAAAAAAAGACAAATGAAAAGAAAATAACAGCCCACATAGCACTGCACCGAAACATAAACCCACAAAAGATCAGATAAAACTTGTCTTCAATTTTAAATCTTTCTAATTTGAAACTCGAGTTTCACTACCCGATAGGAAAGAGTAAAGATAAGGATGTTGCAGTACTTCTGTGGTCTATGAAACAGAACATTAAAATTCTACAGTTCAGCAGAGCATTTTACTGTACTTATGATACACGTTGTTTTAATCAGGGTCTGTGATATTAAGTCTATAAAAAACTACAAATAATGACAGATTCATATTCAATATTTCATGACAGCAAAAATAGTGATTTAGACAACACTGTACATAATGTACGTTCATTTAGGAAATTCATGCAAAGGTTCCACAAATAATGTAATTGTAGGTCAATCAAAAATTAATCATTTAAATCCGTTTTCCACGAGACAAAATTCTACTGGCTACATATTTTTTTTATATAAAAAAGTTGCTTTCTGATTTCTTTTTTTGACATGTTAAATGACTATTTTTGTTCCTGATTGAATACTATAGTAGAATGTAGGACAGTTAGTCACAGGACAAAAAGTCACGGACGAAAAGTCACAATTCAGTTTTGAGATTATTTTTCTCTGAACAAGAAAACACTAATTTTTAAAAAAAAATTTTGATTTTTTATTGAACTATAATATATGAAGCAACTTTGTAATTAAAATTTATTCAATAAATATCAATGATGATCAAATAATTGTTATGAAAACAAAATGTCAAAGTGGTTTGGCACTTAAATGGCTTCATGGTGCCAAGAAATATATTATTTGCATGATTAAAATTTAAAAATTTTTCATTTATCAAGGCTTATGAACAATTTCCTGAACTTAAAAATGAATAAATGTAAAAAAAAGATATTATTTGAAAAAATTTTGAAATCAGAAAGCAACTTTTTTATATATTTCTCTTATATATTCAAACAATTGTCAATAAATTATTTGTGACTTTTTGTCCTATCCAATTTGTGACTTTATGTCCTGTGACTTTTTGTACTGTGACTTTCTGTCCGTTTACCCTATTCATAGTATAGCCCAGTGTTTCTGTTAAAATAAAGTTCTGGTCATGGTTAAAATAATGTCAGAATTTGTTTAGTTGTAAAAACAATTACCAAGTAATAATCCACTTAGAACTTCACCTCCGGCAAAATTCAGGTGATCGGAGGGCAATTAATTGCGTAATCGCACACCTTTGCATCCACAGTCACAACTCTAAGGAAATAATGACCGGAAAATCGGACACACATAATTTCACTGTGTAATTTAGAAGCAAACTTCAGCAAAGTATGTTTCTTGTAATATCATGATCATTACCAGATTTTACTTTTTAAATTAAAAGAAATGCCGAAAAAAAAAAAAAAAAATTTTCTCAATCAAATACATTAAAAAAAATACAACTATTTCAAGAAGTTTTTTAGAAAAAGAATTTATTTGATCTGAAATAAGTTTTCCTATAACTTTTCTTGATTAGCTATCGAGGTAATTCATCCCTGACTTGTCTACATGTTGTAGAATAATTATCGACGAGAATCTCATTCCGGGCCGCGTTTTTTAACGGGATTTCACGGAGTTGCCAATCTCTGTGTATATATGTCTCTGATGCTCATTTAAAATAATATCTATAAAGCGTAATTAAATAGGATGTTGTTCCATACACGCTTACATGTTTGACCTCGTTTACCGGATTACCTTTATGTACATTGTTATGCATCATTAATTCTATTGATAAAGATAAGCTAAGGACACCTCATCAAAGGTAACAAACCTGTAATCAGTGAATGATTTATGGCTTCAATATAACTTATTGAAGGGATAATTGTTTGACAGCTTGTTGTTATTTAAATAAAAGAAAACGTGTTTTTTCTACTTTTTATTGATGTACACAAGCTAAAGACCAAGCCGTACATTTATGTACCCAGAGGATTAGACTAACTGAGACACTTCAAAGTATCTGAAATATGCTGCTTCTGTTTTATTAAACCCAATTATGACCGAAATATCTTTATGAAATAGATTGCCACAATTATAAACTAAAATGCCCAAACGGACATGCCCAAAGCCCCAAACGGACATTTTTATCGATCGATAGTTGGTAAAAATTGACATGACCGTTTCATGAAAATGCCTTGAATAACAAAATGTGGCACACCAATTCTATTTGACCGTTTGAGGCTGAGAGCAGCCGGTCTTTTTATGAAAGTTTCGGTCAAGTCCGGAATATATGACCGTTTTGGAAGCCCTGCTCCAACGCCAGACATTTTTTTTCAAATAGTGCCTGATAAAGTTGAAATAGAATTGGCCACTTGCTAAAACATAGGTTAACACATGTATGGTTTAAGCTGCTAATAATAAATGTACTTGAATCCTATGGCATAAAGAAAATAAACATTATGGAATGTATACGTTTTATTTGGTCACCAGGAAAACATGTAAAATATGTATATAATAATAAAATAATGAAAAATAACATTTTTTTTTACTGAATAACAATATAAAAAAAACTCTCTAATAACATTCACACCATTATTAAAGCATTGCATCCTATTTTAAGCATTTTTTCATCAAAATTTGAATTTTCATTTATGTAATCTGACACCATGCAGAGCAGAATAAAAATCCATTCATACTAACATAAATGGTAGATCTTAAGAATTCTTTTTTTTTTTAATTTATGAATTTTTGGAAGAAAACATTAAATACTAAAGAATGAAATTATTTGTATGGTTAATGTAAAATTACAAATAAAAATCCCATTTTCTATTTGTTTATAGGAATTACAAAACAAAATTGTAACTGTTGATGAAATATTACAATACCATGCACTAGTTTTTACAAAATACAATCCTTTATGGATGAACATGATAAAACTCTGTAGGAATCCTGTAAATTTCAATTTATTTTGAAGTAAATTCCCTATATACAACTCAATGACCTTTAAAACAACTGGAGAACAAGCATCATACTCCTAGCCTGTTACAGACAAGCTGATTGATCATACTGCAAAGATTCTATTATCAGTATGCAAAAATTCTATTATCAGTACAAAAGTGACAAAAAAAAACCACTGCACTCTTGAAGTCTTACTTTGTCATCAACCAACCAGAGCTGTTGTTCTAATGTAAATTTATTACTGTAACTTGACTGTCATGTAATGTTATAACAATTCAAAAACAACAATTCATGTGTTGTCTTGATAACCATACCCCCACTGCTAATTCAAATATCCAAAAACAGTAAGTAGGTGTCTGGACATGTTACAACTCAATCAGCTGACCAAACATGGTCTTTTTAAGAATTATGGGAGAAATATGTGAAGAAACATTTTAAGTTAACAGATTAATAAAGGGCTTACACATTATAAATCAACACTGTAAAACTGCTGACCAAGTATGAAGTAATTTTGGTCAGTAGTACCATAGAAAAGTGTGACAGAAATATTTGTTGAAAGAACAGGGGGAGGGATGGACAGTGAATGCAATACTTAACCATTCTCGTCATTTTCATAAAGAAATGGAGATGTAATTTTACTTTGACAAATTGACAGTGGATATCAAATCTATCCCGGTTGTTATTAAAATGAAGGGATAAGGTGTTTTTATTGATAACATAGTCTCCCTACAGGTAACAAAACCAAAAGCCAAGAAACAGTACTTTACCAACTTTTAATTGGTTACTTTTGTTTCATAAGAAGGCAATATCTTTATTTTACCATAATAAAACATCAAAGAAAATCATATTATATCTCATTCACACATCTCTTTAAAATATCAATACAAGTGATGTTCCTGAAAACATTTCATAAATAAATCAAGTCATAAAAAAATAAAAAAACAAAGCTATAGACTGTTTAAAAACATTTTAATACAGATTGCTGTTTGCATCTTTTTATTTAACCCGATGTTTTAGCAAACCCTTTTACCACTTAAAGCATTTATTAATTTTCAACAAATTCAGAAAATTTATGACATCTTCAATACACTTGTCCATTCTGGAAACTGTCCACTGGTCACTTACCCAGTAGGTTAGTGGTCACCTATTCAATGAGAGCAGGTGGCACAGAGGTTTTCTTTTTTTTTTTTTTTTGCAAACTTAGGTAAGAAGGCTTGAGCTGTTTTAAGGGTTAAAACAACTGATTTTAAAACTTTGTCAGGTTTTGATACACTAAACAAATTGTGATTTTCTTGAATTTTAACACAAGTATTAGTAATCCAACAATATAGTTCCTTTCACATTATTACTTTCGAATTGCAAATTCCTATGAAATGATGTTGAAGAACATTCACTTAATTCTGACTTAAAAATTTAGAAGTAAAATGTACAATTTTGCTGTCTCAAAATGAAAAGTAAATAATATGAAAAGTTTTATTCTGACTGCTTCCACAGTGGACAAGACCAGGAAGTTGATGTAATGATTCATTGTTTTGTATAAAAGTACATGTACATGTAGTAAAAACAACCTTGACACCAAAAGCATAGTAAAAAAACGTTTGTTTATCCAGTGTATCACAGCAGTATTATCTACCATCAAGTCCTGAGTGTCCTCCAGTGGCTACAGGTAGGCATGAAAATAAATGTTCAATTACATGTATTTTTACCATCTTGCTTTATTATTCAGACATGTTTAAACCCTAAGTCAGGAATCTGATGTTCAGTAGTTGTCGTTGATGTGGTTCATAAGTGTTTCTCGTTTTTTATATAGCTTAGACCGTTGGTTTTCCCGTTTTACACTAGTAATTTTTGGGGCCCTTTATAGCTTGCTGTTCGGTGTGAGCCAAGGCTCCGTGTTGAAGACCGTAATTTGACCTATAATGGTTTACTTTTATAAATTTTGACTTGGATGGAGAGTTGTCTCATTGGCACTCATACCACATCTTCTTATATCTATGTTAGAAATGTAGGGTATGGATGAGTGATACACTTTCCTTAAAAATATTTGTCTGCTCATTTTTGGTTGATAAGGGGCTAGTTTAACTGCTAATTCTCATTCACAATTTCCCATATCTCATTTTCTTCCTATGTAGAAACTTTTTTCCCTTCAATACTGTTTTTCAGCATGTCTGAATAATGAGCAACACATTTATACAATTCATGTACTTTTGTTTAAAAATAAAGTTTTTAGACCAAATATATAAAAGAAGAATTTAAAATTGATTATGGATACAAACCAAGTGCTGATACTGTAAATGAAAATTGTTCATCAAAATTGTCAAATTTGCATACTGGCTTAATGTTATGATAAATAACACATTTAAACAAAACATTTTTACGTAAGTACCAATAGAAATATAATGGCTATTGATAGAACTCCAATAAATAGAAAATTGATGACACCAGATTTCACATGAATAATTTGCATTGAGGTCAAAGTCCAACATTACAATGCCTACCTGAAATAAGCACCTGCATTTTTTTTCAATTAAAGAACCTTACAAGCTCACAATATCACATGTATGCCATACATTGTACATCAAAATAAATAGGGATCTCCCTCACCTTATATGCTCCCATATATCCAAGTTTTGTTCCAATTTCATATAAGATTCTTAGGTTATTATCTGGAAACACTATTTTTAGTATATTTGTATGGTAAATGTTTTACCTTGACCTTGTAAGCAATTATTTTAATATCAATAGGGATTCTCCTTTCATAAATATGTGACCATATATGCAAGTTGAGGATGTTTCAAAATAACAAGCTTTTTAAAAGACTGTTATAAATTGGTAGTATATAAATACAGAAATTAAAAAAAAGAAAAAAAAAGAAGAGTCAGTGTGCTTGTTTTCGAGATATAAGCCATTAAAAATTTTGGCAGGAAATGATTCTCTCTAGATTTTTCATACATTTGACATTGGCACCTTTTTTTTCAAAAGCGATGAAAAAATAACAAGGACTTTATAAGATTTTCAAAGATGACATTTTGAACTGTATGTAATCAAATTATGGAAAGAAACGTAGGGGTTAGTGGGAAATTTTTTTAATGGCATTACATGGATATAACCAGAGGATTACGAATATCTGACAAAAATTCAAAAGCAAGAGGAGCGAACATCCTTAAATTGCAACCCCATGCAATTTCTGGAGTTATTATCTGAAAACCCCTTTTCTCTACTAATTTAAGTAACTATGACCTTGAGGTTTAACATAATAAATCAATAATCAATAGGTATCTTCTCATTATGTGTGACAATTTTTCCAAGTAATGTTCTCGATTTATTATCCAGAAACTCTTTTTTGCACTTTTTAGTAACTTTGACCATGACCTTTGACATATTGACCTCAAAATGGGGATCTTCCTCTCACTATATTTGGCTACATATCCAAGTAAGGTTGCAATCTTATATAAAGTATTTGATCTATCATCCAGAAACTAAGATGACTGATGGTCAGACAAGTCCCTACTACTTGTAACATGGGATGTAAAATAATAATTCTTTATTTAAAGAGGGAAACACATTTAGCTATAAAACTAATCTTCCCTGAGATATGAACTCCTTACAGAAAAATAAAAATAAGGTTAAATCTGCATAGATGAAGTCACTTCATAAGTATGTAAATTTAAAGGAAAATAGATTCATCAATCCTCTAAAAGCTCAGTACATTCTGTTTTATAGTTTAAACAAAACCAAATTTTACTCTGATCAAATAATTAAGAAGAAAAGTTCATACCATTATATGATTCATTTTTTTTTATTGTAATATTAAAATAAAAAGTATATATATTTACAAATATATGGGTAAGACTTGTCATTCTTACAATGTGTATTAAAATATTGGATTTTGTGCAGGGCAGGTCTAAGAAATTCATTCCTGAGGACGGTGTTTATCACTGGCATGGCTAGTATGTGAAGATGGATTTGCATATATGCTTAATAAAAATTTCAATATAATAGTTTATCAATTGTAAATCTTCAGTTTCTAAAAATCAAATACGGTAATAATTAATAAAATATTATCAGAAGTTGAGCCATTAATTTAAAACAAGCTTCACATCTAAATGAAAATATTAAAAGTTCTGAATCATCCGTACTAATTGGTATTAAAATTGTAAGCAAAAAAAAAAAAATCATATTTACAATAAAAATTCCATAAAAGCACCTCTATTATCAAAATGATTGTACAATATCAATAGCTATGTGCAAATGAGTGAAAAGGATGAACTTTGGCCATGCATATGTATCAGAAGCAAAAGAAAGCATATTTCTGCACTGGACATGGACAAAATGGTTGAAAAATTCCTCACATGTTATTTTTTCTTTGTAAGATCTTTATAGCAGTGTTCACATACTCTTTGAAGTTTCTTTGAGTTAGCTAATAGAGCCTCTTTAGAGGAACAGTCATTACAAAATATATTGCCACACTGTCTACAGTGATGCTGTGAAAAAATACAAGTTAAAATTACATAGCATAACAATGAGAATAAAAAATGGCTGGTAGGTACTTCTGTCTAAATACATGAACTGAATTCAACAACAAAGAAAATAATCCTACATACATTAAGCAATATATTTTCATATTCATAATGAAGTAGTGTTAAAAAAAAACTTGCACTTGGCACATTTTTTTGTTGTTTGAGAGAAACAAACAAAAAAACTCCATTGATTTGTCAGTCAACTTAGATTGGGAATTTCCAAAAACACCTTATTTGTGGTCTGATTTTACCCAAGAGTTTCATGATTTTTTTCCCGTTTAAAATAAATAATTTCCATTGCTTTAATGTGAAATAAATGCCTGTTATTATTGACCTCATATCAAAAGGAAAAATGTTTCTAAGACTACTTTATAGCACCAATATGATGTACCATTATATTGTTTCATCCAATGAACAAATTTGCAGATATATAAACAAATTTAAAATGCATGATTTCTATCCAGAGAAATGATAAATCTACTGGTTTCATCCATTCACTAAATATCACAGGTTATAATTTATCCTTTTTCAGGTTTAAAGCTGCTCTTAAATTTAATACACTATCTAAAATACTGTAAAATACAAGAAAATGTTTCAAAAAGCAGACATAAGGCTTACATGAAGGTAAATGCTTACAAATGTAAACAATTTATGACTGCTTTGTAAAACAATAACCAGATCTATTAAATGAAGGAGTAGACATGGTGAGCTATCAGTTCCCCCATTCTCTTATCTGTCTTCCTTTTTCCTTCATTCCTTCATTCTAATAATCCACTACCAAGTTTCCTTTCTCCCTACCCTCCTCTCTCTTATCCCACCCACTTTCTTTCTGCTGCTACCTACCTTGCCCACTCCCCCAATCAATACTCACAGTAGTATATACATGTATACTAAAAAAATATTCATAATTTTGTTTTACAATAAGCAGTGGCACAACCTGAGTGAATAATTTTAAAATATAAATATTTAGGATTTATAAAAAAAATATCATCTTTTATTTAATTCAGCAAAACAAGTGTCACACACACGAACAGGTTTCTTTGATGATGGCACTTTATTTTCCCTAGATGAACAATCGTTACAAAATATGAGTCCACAATTTCGGCAGTGATGCTGAAATAATAAAGTTGAAAATTTTAAATCTGTTTCACATTCAAAGTATGGTGTGCACCTTGAATAAATAATTTCAGAATATCAATTCAAGTCATCATTTTCTATGCATACTGTATGTACCCTTATCATTATTTTTTTTAATTTGGTTCTCTTACCTGAAGTAACTGTAATACACCATCATTATGACCCCTGGTTCCTTATACATGAATTAAGTATCAATTTTAAAAATAATCACATTACCTTTGGTTCTGGAGTTATGCTGTATGGCATAATCTACATACAGGTACATATATGAATGAAAGGAAATGAAGCATATTGCCTAATAAGACAGCAACACAACAACACAAAAAACACCAAAAAAAAAAAAAAAAATGCTAAGGTTACATGGTTTCAAGATGTAAAGTTTGCTTGGAAAAAAAATAAGCCTCTTTAATTACCGGTACCGTACGCCAATAAATAATCAAAACAATATACAATTTCATATTGTTGCAAAACATGAAATTTGCATTAATATTTTAATAAACTGTTATCACAGAGATATGTCTCGCCTTTTTGTAATTTTGATAATGCAAATGTTGAAATGAAAATAGCAATACTTTAACATGTAAGTTATGCAAATATTCAAAGTCGATGAACCATGACTGAAAATACAAGGCTAAACAATCTCCATGGAATGAGATGTGCCAATGCAAATACAACTGCATACCTTATACCATTGACTTATAAGTCGTTCCCTTTAAACAAACGTAAACACAAACATTAACTTGTAAACTGTAAAAGTTTCAAAGTCAATGAACCATGATCAGGGGTGGGGCTATATAATCTCCATGGAAATGATACTTGCAAATGCCAATAAATTTGCATACCAAATATCATTGACTTAACATTAGCAGTTCATCTTAAACTGATCTAATCACAAACTAATACATGCAAACTAAGCAAAAGTTTCAAAGTAAATAGACCATGACCGAGCGGTGGGGCCAAATATTCTCCATGGAAATGAGATGTCCTAATGCTTATACAACTGAACACCAATTAACATTGGCTTACCACTAATGGTTCCCCTTGAACTGACCTAATCACAAACTAATACATGTTAACTTAGCAAAATTTTCAAAGTCTATAGACCATGACTAAGGGGGCGTAGACAAATAATCTCCATGGAAATGAGATATGCCAATGCTTATACAACTGCATACCAAATATCATTGACCTACCACTACTCGTTCCCAAAAAATTGACCTAATCACAAACTATTACATGTAAACTATGAAAAGTTTCAGAGTCAATAGACCTTGACTGAGGGGGCGGGGCCAAATAATCTCTATGGTAATGAGATGTGCCAATGCTTATACAACTGCATACCAAATATCATTGACCTACCACTAGTGGTTCACCATGAACTAGACCTTATCAGAAACTAATACATTGTTGACGCCGCTGTCGCCGCCGATGCTGGAAACAGCATACCTATGTCTCGCTTTTTGACTCCGTCAAGGCGAGACAAAAACTCCAGTAGTCTCCAATCAGAGTGTACTGGTACAACTTTCAATAGCAAGCTGCTTTACTATAAGGCACATTTCATAACTTATGTTTAGATAGAATTCAAAATATAAACTTCAACATAACTTGATAAGTATCTAAACTTGAATAAAATCTATGACCAAATCAGAGTGACATACTTTTGATTTTGAATTATTCACTCGAGCACACATTCATGCAAGCTTAAATGATCCTACAATATCCTACTGTTTCCTACATGTATATCATAAAAACCAAAGATAAAACAGTGTTGTACTAGCTTCATCACACTTTACAAATATGTAAGGGACATTCTAATCAGTGAAGCAAATAAAATAGGCCACCTTCACTAACTGAGATCATACCTGAACACTCAATTTTCAAATTACTGACTTTGTTGTTTACAATTATAGAATTTTGGCAAAGGGAAACAACTCTTTAGTTCAGACTATGTTCTCTGCCAACGCAAACCTTATCAGGAGCATGTTTTTTAATGTACGTAAAGTGTAAAAAAAAAAATCATTCCATAACCACTTATTTTACAAACCCCATTTACCATGAACGCATTTGCACTTAAAAAGTCAAAATTATTTTCAAATCTCACACAAAACAGCATTCTTGTGTTACTTGCTTTGTAAAGGCAGTGACCACAGTTTATCCTACCTAGGAATTGTTTACCTTTGCATTTTTTTTTCAATTGGAAGCAAAGCCAGTAAAAGAAAACAGACTTGCATTGCACAGGTAAATTAGCAAATTACTCCACTCCAAATATGATGTTGACAAATAAATAAGCTAAGCGGATATCAATCTGTGTTAAATTTTACTTAAAACCTGTATTATCTGCCAATCTTGACCTGGCACTTATCTCTCTTAACTATAAGACAATTTCAAGCATTTACTCAAGAAAAGAGTAAATGAACAGTTAAGTTATACTGCTTTTTCTCACCTTTCTGACAGTTACAGAGAAATTTTTGGCACAAGCCATACACTCCTTACATTCACTGTCGTCTGCCCATTTTCTACTCTGTACTTTTGTGGTTGTTATCTGAAAGAAATGAAAAATTATTTTAGATCACATTAATAATTTGTGTATATACATGTATTTAAGGTGATGTTAAAAATTATCTGAGAAAAACTTGTTAGTGATTTCATGTTTCACCTTTTACCATTCTGTTATTTGTAATTCTTTTGGGGGTAATTCTGTTAAGAAGGTATTTTCAATTACTTCTTTGTACATGCATTACATTTATTGAGTTCTGACAAATTTCCTGTAGTGGAAATTTTAGCTTATTCATGACATCTCCTTCGGGTGGAAACAATCATTAAAATGTTTCATCGATGAACTTCAAGCAGAATTCAGATAAAGCAGACACAATTTGTGACATTTGGATAACCAGATTGGGATTCCATCCAAAAATATGAAGGGACATAACACTTTTGCAGACATTTTTTCCAGCATATTCATAAATGTACAATTGACACAATTTATAAACATGTACTTAGTGTATTGCAAGTTTAAAATCTGATAAAGACCTTGAACTTCATACTAGAGATTCCAAAATTAAGGACACATCTTACAGTAGTGATGGACAGTAATACAAGGTACCACAGTGGTACAAACAATTAACTTTCAGATAGTACTCAAGATACAAAATAGACACTATGTTGGATGGAAAACTGAATTACTATCGACTCAAATCAATGGTCAGTCAGGCCTTAATAATTTTTAAGTAAATTCTTTCTGCATATATTTGAGTTACTCTCCTTTCCAAAAAATACATTAACAGAATGATGAATAATTGTAGCAATGCTTTGCCTTTGCACTTCTTTGAGAGTAATATTGGTTCATGACCATAAAGAGTCAAAGAACATTAATTTGCATGTAATATTCACACTAGGTAATATTATATGAGTTTCTGAACTATTATGGATCTTTTTGATATCAATATTCTAGTAATCAAGCTTGTCATGAAATGATTGTAAGTTAAAGAAATAAATGATTTTCAGTATTTTCATACCATAGCAATACAATGGCACTAATCAGTACTGTTCTTAGCAAGGGATATAATAAGCTTTGAATTACAGAGCCTTGACTCAATTTAAAAAAGATATAATTGATTATCCATCAGAAAGATATAACCTTTCAATCTTTGGTAATTGTTCCATAAGAAGAAAGTGTACCATATTTCTCATATGAAATCTATATTCTTGTTTGCTTTACAAAATTAAAAAAGAATTAAATCCAAGTCCTCCAAATTGATTGTGTCTGTAATCACAATATGTGAAATGAATTGTAAACAAACCATTTTTATTAAAGTAATTATGACTATTTAAATATCAAAAGGTTTTCAAAATATTTTTCTTCTTCAAAGATAAAAACCATTTAAACTCCCCAGATTTTCCATTTCAACAATGACAATTGAGATTGGTCTATTATTATGACAATAACAAACACCCAAGTGCAATTTATTATTCATATTCTGCATAAGGATAAATTATATTACTGTACTATTTCAACTTATGTATTTAAACTTTGAGGATTACTTAAATTAAGCACCCCCATGATATTATAATCAGGACAAGGCTAAAATGTTAGTTTCAGGAGAAAAAAAAACTCTATATCTGAATTTAAGGATACTTTGGGATGGGGTACATTTCAATTAAACAGCAACCTAACAACAAATAAAACAAAAGAGATTTTTTTTACAGAATAGAACAAATCTAAAGAGCAATGGTCATAAAAGCTGTTTGAAGGATTATCATGTGCCTCCCAAAAAGTTTTCTGACCTTCTGCAGTGTGGAAATAAAAAGTTTGAGGGGCAAGCTTTGTCTCTCAAAAACAATCAGAAAATTTACCTCTTTTGATAAACTTGCCACAAATCACTGCAATATACTTATGGAATCATAATAATTCAAAACTAAAAAAAAATTTAGTTTCAACTTGACTTCTTCTTAAGATAAAGTACATTGCAAGGAAAATCAGTTTTAAAAATTTTGATAGAATGAGACCAAAAAATATTCTTATCATTCATGATCCCTAAAAAATCAACAAGTGTGAGAAAACTAGCAACCCAAATATCTTTATGATGAACACAAGTCATGTGCTTGTCTTGTTTTTTTCCCACAGGAATCATTATAATCTGTAAAGATATTAACGACCTTCGTAATCAATTTCCTTGGCCTAATATGCTTACAATTTCAAATCCATAATACTCTCTCCAAATGTCTATTATTTCAAACTGGATTTAAAGTTTCTAAGGGAAGGTTAAAACTAAATTACTTAAAGGGTCAAACTTTTGTGCTGATGTTTTTTTGTAAGTATATATAACACATGATAGAGAATTACCACACTGCAGAAAGCTCTAGACAAATTAATAATGCAGAGATTTTTTATCCAAAATTTTTAAGTTTCTTGGACATATTTACAGTGAAAAATCTTTGTTTTGTGTGTTGATGAATATTCACATGAAAGGAAATAAGACTAAAATATAATTCTTGGATTTGTTATTTATTTTTTCAATTCTGATAAGGCATAAATATTTTGGAATAAAAATGCAGGTTTGCGAATTGTATTTGTACATGTAAATGGAACTATTTGAAAACACAAAAAATTTTCCAAAAGAGAATGTTGATTATCTTAAATATAGGTCGTTAATCTCCAGAACTCCATTGAAAGGTCCACCGGGAAAACTTTATAAACCAACTAGTGTGCTTTCATTACCACCACAACAGGAAAATTACATAACTCAATCACACTTTCCTGTCATTTCTCAGCAGATCAATTTAACATCAGGGAACGAGTCTCACAGAGAAACTAAATCTGCACCAAGAAATATAGAAAATAGAGTTCCAGATAGCACAGAAGCAGAACCAGAAAACGAAGAGAACCAGCAAATGAGTCACTCAGCTAATATCAATCATAAAGGAAGTAGAAAACTTGAAGTGGCTGCAGCACCATATAGGGTAAACCAGACAATCATGTACAGATCGCCACCACCATCACGACATCACAGAAACTGTGTTCCTAAGAAACGTGAACCAAAGTCCGCAAGAAAAGAATACGGATCTGATCCACATCAAGCAGTTGGAAATAAATCAATTGGATTTGATTTCTGTCAAGAGGGACATGCTATTTTCTCTATGTCTACAAGACGCCATTTCCGTTCTAGAGATAGACTATATTGTGATTTTTGTGAAAGCCTTGAATCAATAAACTGGTACTGTAGGAATTGTAACAAAAGCTTTTGTACGATGTGTAAACACACTCATGAAATGAGTCGAGGTTCATTTACAAGTTACAGAGATCTAATGGATCGTGTTTTCTATCAAAAGACGACATTAAGACACCTTGCATGGAGAATTAATGATATCAAATATCAATATGAAAATGACAAGAAAGAAAGGATGCTTCCACCGCCAAAGAAAAAATAATTGAAGAGGAGGATGAGAACAATGTAAATCTATTTCATATTTTAATTCAAACTATATACTTCACTTATCTATAGATCTGTAACCAATGAATATTTATATTTGATGCTATCCTTTGCTTCTCTATTAAAATATGATTTTCCATTTTTTTATGATATCAAATATAATCACAATAAGCGTCATGAGATACTGTAAATCCAGAAATTTTTTCATGCATTTATTATTTATAGATTAATAATTATGACTTATGTGAAATGTTGCACACAAATAATACTTTAAAAACTTTAAATGAAAATTTTTATTTTTGCTATACCTATCCTTTTGCAAATATAAAAACATTGCAAAAACTACTGAATTTACAGTACTTTCGCTGAAAATCATCAACAAATTTGTCAATAATTAAATAACTCAGAAAAATTTGTCATCTTCATCCTCAAGTAAAGTATATAAAAGAAAACAGGATACGGTACTTGTACTTTGTTTAAGAAAACATTGTGACCATAAGATGTCTTTTTTGATTAATTTGTGTAGTTGGGTTGCTGACTCCTTGACATTTACTGTACATCTTCTTTGTTCATAAACAGCAAGGGTGACTGTGGTGTAGAAATATTGTTTCCTGGATTATCCTTATCTGGCAGTAAGACCCAGGTTGAGGGGCTGTCCAGTAAGCTGACCCTGATGTACTAATACAGGGTGTTAGTTTTCTCTTTTGAATTGTTTCACATTTGGCATGTCTTTTATAGTTTACTATACAGTATTTATTTTCCTAATTGTTGAAGGCAGTAAGGTAACTTGTAGTCGTTTTCATCCTCATCCTTTGTTCTCTGATGGACTAAAATTTAACCTGCTGCATTAATATTTATATTACATATTTCTTTTTATGCCCTTATATTATAACTAATAAGCATGATATGGAGGTTACCCCCCCCCCCCCCCCCCCTGCTCTGCCATATGCATGAGTATAGTTCCACATACTTTAACTTTGACAAACAGTGATGTTAAAGTACAACTTGAAATTGTAGTGCTGTCTCGATCTGTAAGACACAAATGATGCCCCCCGCCTGACCATAAGAAATTATAAATTTAACACTACTGTGGATTCATTTATTTTCGTGTGTACCAATTTTCGTGGATTAGCGAAAACTTGCATGTTCGTGGATATTTAATTTCGTGGTTTTGATGAAGTCTACACACAAGCCTATAGAAAATTTGTCATTCGTTGAACATTTAATTTCGTGGTTCACCTGTAACCACGAAATCCACGAAAATTGGTATCCAACGAAAATTAATGAATCCACAGTATGTATGATGATCTATCTTTTATTTTAGTTTGAATGTCTACACTTGCAGGACTGAATGTCCAGCCAAAAGGTTTCAACTTTCCAGTTTTAGTAGTCACCAAGTTCAACTTCCCGGTATTGGTTATGACACACCCCATCCCATGAAGTATCAGCATACCAAGCTTGGTCAAACTAAGTTCTATGGTACAAAAGTTATAAGCAGAACACAATTCAGACAAGGTTTAACTATCAAAGGAGTTGAAGGTCAGAAGACCTGACTTTGGTATATGACACATCCCAAACCCATGATGCAACTGTATACCAAATTTGGTTAGCC